TTAATCAGGATTATGATAATATGATACTACACAATACAGTCAATTACTTGGACAATTAATTAATTAATTTTATAAAATCCGTGATTAAGAATTAACAAATCCGTGATTAAGAATTAACAATTCAACCTCAAAACGTGTCCAACACACTGAATCTTCCATCCCTGTCAAATTACGCGGATAAAAATAATACTTAAACACGGGGGGGGAAAATGTTTATTGAATTCCAATTCCAACTAGTTTGGGATAAACAATTCCAATTCCAATTTAATTAAAAACAATATAACTGAAAAGATATTTAAAAAAAAATTACTTCCTCTAGCCTCCAGTATTAACAGAGTCACGAATACGAGCCAGGTTTATCAAGCAATCCGTCTAGCCCCTTACTTATTATTATCCTTAAAAATGAAATATTTTAAATTTTTAGATTAAAAAAAATGTAGACATTAGAATATGTGATTGTACATTAAATTAGAATTTATGTTATTTCAACATTATAATTTATTTTTAGATGATGACTATGCAACATTATAATATAAAAAATTAAATTTTTAGAAGTAAAAATAGTATAAAAATGAAAATAAATAAAAAATTAATTCCTGAGGCCAACTACAAGCCCGATTAATAAAGGGGGTGTTTTAAAAATTAATCATTTTCAAGATAATTGGGTTTTTGAGCTTGAACCCATACGAGTCAAGCTTATATAAACCAAGCCTGTCCGTTTATATAATTAATCACTTTGTTAGATAAAATGTGGAGCGTTAATTAATTTTTTAAATTTATGCTTATTTACAATTTTGTAAAAAAGTTTTAATTCATGCTTTAAAGTTTAAATGAGGATAAAATCAAAACATTATTTTACTTTAAAACCATTTTAATGATTTAATAACGTCTTATTTTGGATGAAATAGTTAAAACTATCCTATAATATTTAAGAGTCGAAAGAGCATAGAGAAAATAAGGACAACCAAAATGGAAGAAGCTTATACGCAAAAATGGAGGTGACCTAATTTGGCTTACCATTGTAATTACCCTCGTTTTCACCTACGCCAACCCCTCTATTTTTCCTCTTTTTCTCAGTCCCTTCCCAATCTTTTGTATTTCTTGCAAAATTATTATTTATAGATTTTTTTGTTGTCATTTAAAAAACAATGGAGAATGGCGGCTAAAATTTTATAAAAAATTAATATCAAATTAGGATCTTATCATAACTTAATTTCTCAAACTCAGCACCAAAAATATTGATTAATAATTAATCTTCTCATAAAGTTTGTCAGCTGCAAGTGTCCTTTTAAACAATTCCTCACTTGGTGTGCAAAATTGATGAATAATTTTTTCTACAAGCGTCTATGAATAATTTTGACATATGGTGTGCTTAACGTGGACCATTTTGATATTTCTACTTTTATACGTAATATGCAAGTTGAAATGCCCACGAGGAAAGGAAATGATCAAATAGATTAATAATACATTATATGTCGCTTTAGAAGATTTTTATTTACGTCTCTATTATAAAATGTTTCTAAATATGGGGCCCCGAAAAAGTACTAAATTGTTGCCACAAGTTTTGTCCAACAGAAATATTATGCTCTTCGTTAATCACACCTCATTTCAAATCAAATTAATTGGTATTTAGGAATTATACTGTGGAGGAAAACATCTTATCAGTTTTCTAATTTTTGATGATACAAAAATAAAAAATTATTTGACGAAAATTTATAATATGGAGGGTTTTTTGGGCCAATAACAAAAAAATAAAAAAATTATTCAACGAAAAAAATAGAAAAAGGTTAAAAGTTCCAATAGGAGATGTTTAATTGATTTTGATTGGTGGATTAAATTTGTATTTGGACCCCATTATTTGAACACAAAAAAATTTGTGCATATATGTATTTAAATCATATTCAAGTAATTTTTTATTACAATTTTTTGAATTTCAAATACTTAATTTACTCTAATTATTTCAAATCTCAATCATCCTTTCTAGGTACTGCCTAAACATGTAGATAAGTTATACAAGACAATTCTTTCTTATCGATGTGAATATTTTATACTACTCAAGAAAGAATTTAAAACACATAAATTTTAAAATTTAATATTTAAATACAAATCTATTCATACAAACAATTCTTCGATAAAATCCCAAGCACAAAGCAGAATAGAGATCAGACTGTTATGCTTGGAAAAAAAAAAAAGTAAAAAAAGTAGAATGAGTCCGCACACACATATTTACATGAAGTTCAAAATAATATGTATAGATATTTCTCATTTCTCATATAAATAATAGTCTATGTAAATAGAGAGTGTAAAAATTTGTTGTCCAAGCCTTTACAAATAAAAATGAATTTTAACTAATTATTGAAAAAGCCAAACTACATCAAACATCCCCAACACACATTTTGATGAATTGAAAATTCTGCTTATAAAAAATAATCTCTTCATTCAAAAATATAAAATATTTTTAATTAAATTTTATCTTTTAATAAAGTAGTTACTTACTTTCAAACTAACTTTATCTTTTCATATTCATTCTTATTAAATACTTTATAATAGATGTAAAATCATTCATTAATAAGGGTATTTTTAAAAAATTATAATTATTACACCTCAAAAGATTAAAAATATCTTATATTTTTTAATATTTAACTTTTTAAAAAATATTTTATATTTTTAAATGGGAGAGTATGTAGTTTAGTCTTGATATTAGTGACAGGGGCCAACAACTTATTTAGTTATCAAATAATTAATTGATTAAAAATAAATAAATTATAAAAATGACAATAATGCGAATACAGAGAATGTGGGCAGAGGGGTGATTTGTCGAGCGGAGGCGAGTCTTTCTCAATACTCAGACTCCTTAACTCCAGACATTTGGAATCCACACACGCACCATCACTATTTCGTAAATCACGAAGCCGCCGTTAAAGCTTTGATCCAACGGTCACGTATAGGGTCTCATGTTCTAACCACGAGCCTCCCAACATCCTATCATTCCCTCGGGTTTGTTTGGCCCTGACTCGTGTCTTGTTATGGCTGCCACACCTTTTTGCACTCTTTCATTCACACTAATTTAAATTTCTGTAAAATTATTATTACTAATAATAACAATTTTATGGGTCTTTTGAGATGTATCTGACATGCTTATTTAATATAATTATATATTTTAAAATTTAAATTTAAAACTTTAGAATAAACTAATTCAATCCTTTAACCAGTTCAATTAATCGTTACTTGGTTGGCTCACTTTTTTTTTTAGGTAATAAATCATTGAATCATGCAAATTATACCTGCCATATTTTCTCTTATTGTTATTAATATTAATCGATGTAAATTTTATAATGACCCCTCGTTTTTCACATTTTATTTTTTATTTCAATTTACTCGCTATTAGTAATAAATTTTTAAGTGCAATAAAGCCTTGAGTGCGTTTACTTCAATTAGTTGGTAGCATTCCTGTATTAAGCAAAACATTTTTTTTCAACCAACTTACAGGAAGCATTGTTATCCAGCTCCATTATTCATAATTTGAAAACAATGCTACTTTTCATATATTTATAATACAATTTATTAATATATATATATATATACACTCTTTTTACTAAAAAATATAAAATATTTTTAATTAAATTTCATTCTTTAATAAAATAGTTTATTAACTTCAAACTAACATATTTTTCATAGTTACCCTTATTTAATAAGGTTATCCTAAAATAAATATAAAATAATTTATTTAATAGGGACATTGTTATAAACAAGATAATAATTATATTTTTAAAAATAAAAATATTTTATATTTTTTAATATTTAATTTTTGAAAAAGTAATTTATATTTTTTAATGAAGGGAGTGTGTGTATGTAGAATATTGAACAATTTAAAAGAAACTTTGAGAACATTAAGTTAATCTCTGAGTCATTATAAATTCATGCAGAGAGAATTTATATAAAATAGAATTGTGGTTTTGTGTCGAACATCTTAAGTTTTAACTATGACTCTCTATTTTTATTGAATTTAAATTAACGTATAATTTTAATCTTTTAATTTTATATAAAATTTCAATTTATTTCTTTAATTTTATAAAAAAATTTAGTCTTCTAATCCTAATAGTATTGGTTTAGTTTTATATGATTATTTTTTATGATAATAATTGTTATCTTAAAAAAATTCTTAATATGTCAACATTTAAAAATATTTTTTTAATATTTAAAAATTAAATGTAAAATTTTTTATGATGAAACTGATAAAATTAGGGTTAAAGAACTGAAAAAATATTTTATAAAATTAATTTTATATTATATATAGATATTTGAACAATATTTGATAATGAAAATAAATTTGAATTTTAACTGTATAAATTCGATTAAAATAAATAAAACTATAAAGATAGTTCAATTTGCAGTATTATGTTTTGACTCAAATATTTTAAAAAATTAATAGATAATTCCAACGTTCAAACAGAAATGGATGGATGGATTTGTTCATATTTTTTTTAACTAATACTCCCTCCACTAAAAATGTAAAATATTTTTTTAAAAATTTAAATATTAAAAAATATAAAATATTTTTAATTTTTTAAAATGTAATCATTACTTTCTTTTAAAAATATCTCTATTAAATAAATTATTTTATATTTATTTTAAAATAAATATTTTATAGAATAATGATAAATATAAAAATATATGATTAATTTTAAAATAAATAATTATTTAATTAAGGTAAAATTTAGTTAATAATATTTTATATTTTTAGGTAGGGGGAATAATAATGCCTGATGTAAGAAAATCGCGCGCGGCAACAAAGAGAGAGAGTAGAAAATCGCATAATTTTTTTATTAATAATTAAAATTAATAAAAATAAGGAATAAAAAATAAATTATGTTTCGATTCAACTGCATTGCGCAAGGCCCCACAGATTTTGATGTCCAGGGCATTTTGGTAAGATAAAGAAAATAGGAAAACTCGCACGGTCGCACCCTTTTTATTGTTGGTGGAGAGGCGAGAAACAGCATTCTCATCTTTCCCGTTTCTGATCTCTTCCATATCTCTCCACGAAGCTTCGTTCACAGAGCCGGGCAAAGGGGGAGAGAGACGGAGAGACAGAAAAAAACTAGAGGGAAATAGAACTCAAAGCAAGCTTATAAAGGCTCTGTCTTCACTCATTCTCTTGTGCGTTCCTCTCGTTCTGCTCCTTCCTTCCCCTTTTGTGCTGTAACAGCGCTCGTAAATAAGTCTCATATTTTTCTTCGGCCGCCATCATGATCTCCTCTAATAGCTGCAGTTTCCTGGTAATTTGAACTGAGGATTTTGAATCATATTTCGTTTCTTTGATCTGAAGCTCACGCATGTTTTTTATCTTACATTTCCGGGTTTAGCATTTCCTCGTGGTTAATCAGGAATAAATTGTTTCCTTTTCTACTTTTTTTTGTATAACAAGAACCCAAAGTGATATAGTCGGTAGATGAAGTTAACGTTTCTGGGTCCTGTGCTCAGCGATCAAGAACTAATTTTTGTCCTTCTTTTAATTTAAATTGCATGATTTGTCTATCTGGGTACTGATAATTTTTCCTTTCACTATGCAATTTCGATGCAGAGCAACACAGGAGTAGGTGGGTCTTGCAGTGGGTTCTCCGATGTGCAGAGAAGACGTTCAGGTCCTTCGATAGTGTGTATGGCTCAAAGCAGCAGGACTAATGATCGAAATGCCAGTGTTGCGGTGGAGACCAAGTTAAATGGAATTAATGACGATTCTGTGGTGGCCGACGTGAACGGTAAACCCACCATAGGCGGCGGCGTTCAGGACGCATATGGCGAGGATATAGCTACAGAGGATCAGTTTGTTACGCCGTGGAGTGTCTCTGTTGCTAGGTCTCATATTGACTCAGCTCTATAAGTATCTATAGTATAACTCAAATTTATATGAATTCAGATACAATATAGGCATGTATGTGGTGGCATCTGAATTCTGGTGATGGGTATTTGATTGGAAGGTTTTGATCTGATGAAAAAGAGGAGAAAAACGAAATTTTTTGCTGTGGTATAATTTCCTAGCAAATTGATTATTTTAAATTTTGTCTTTGAACCATGTGATCCGTGTTTTCTGGTTTTTCATTTGTGTATTATCCTATTTACATCTTCGGGTTCCGCTAGATATTCTTTGATTGAAAGGTTCCGTTGTTTTTATGTTCATCAGACAGTCATACATCTCTGCGACTTCATGTCATGCGTTCCCCCCCCCCCTTTTGTGTTGGTTGAACATGATGTCCCAGACCAATTATAAATCAAGTAGTAGAAACCAAGTGGTAGGAGATCATCATATTCATTGAAATACCTTATGTAGTAGAGTCATAATGAAGGGTGAAGATTAAAGTATGATGCTTATTCTTATCAGCTTTATTTTGTGTTTTGGTAGTGGATATACTTTGTTGCGAGATCCACGTCACAACAAAGGGCTTGCCTTCACCGAGAAAGAGAGGGATGCCCACTACTTGCGCGGTTTACTTCCCCCAACAACTATTGCTCAAGATACTCAGGTGATCAAGACAAGGAAATATTCGGAATAATTTATGTTTATATGTTGTTTATAGCCTCGTTTTAAAGCGCATCTTTTGAATAATTTCTGTTTATATGTTTGTCAGGTGAAGAAAATGATCCGACATATACGCCAGTATCAGGTTCCATTGCAGAAGTACATGGCAATGATGGATCTTCAGGTGCGCTTGTAAAAAGAAATTAATTGATATTTTTTGTCTGCTTCGTTGCTGGAAATTGCCTTCTTTTATCTCCAGAAGGATTTTAATTTATCTGTGAGCTGCAAATTGACTAAAACAAAAAACGTAATTATGGATATGGATGTTAACACCTGAATTTTAAACGGTTTTTGGCTATAAGGATTGTTGCTGTCATTGCTTTTCCTACTTAGATTTACACTTTTGAAATGCATCTTTACAGTAACGTCCACCGGAAGGTGTCTGCGTGGTTAGATTTGTTGTGGAATTGGATTCTAAGCTTCAGTTTTTATATGTGTTTCAGGAGCGAAATGAAAGGCTGTTTTACAAACTTCTTATTGACCATGTTGAGGAGTTACTTCCAGTTGTCTATACCCCAACTGTAGGAGAAGCTTGCCAGAAGTACGGTAGCATATTTATGCGCCCTCAAGGTCTTTATATCAGTCTGAAAGAAAAGTAAGTTTGACTTAAATTGCTCACTTTCCCCTCAAGTGTTCTTTGTCAGTAATATCCTAAGGAAACTGTTTGCTTAGTTAGAATGCTTTCTCAGTTTTTTTCCTGTCAAAATAACTATTCCTTCTTCTTTTGGGGTGTTAAAGGGGGAGGGTTCTTGAAGTTCTAAGGAATTGGCCTCAGAAAGACATTCAAGTCATTGTTGTAACTGATGGAGAGAGGATCTTGGGTCTTGGAGATCTTGGTTGTCAGGTAACTTCTACTATAATAATTTATATGTATAATTTGTGATATAGTGAAACATAGAATCTAATAATGTAACCTTTCTCAGGGAATGGGAATACCAGTGGGGAAACTTTCTTTATATACGGCACTTGGAGGAGTCCATCCATCTGCTGTAAGCATTCTGAGTCCACTTGACTTATTCAGCATTTTTTGGGAATATATTGGTGAATTTGTTTTGTCATACTTTGCATTATTTGTATGGGTAGCTTAAATTCATGAATGTTTATTGTGCTCCCAAGAGTGTTGTCAGCTTGTCTTGTTGATCTTATATATATTTTTCTTAATTTCTTTTAACAACAATACCATCTTGTATTCTGTTTGTTTCAGTGCCTGCCTATTACCATTGATGTGGGTACAAATAATGAGACGTTGTTAAATGATGAACTATATATTGGGCTTAAGCAAAGACGAGCAACTGGGCAGGTTCATGATTTGTTTATTCATTTTTAATCACAAGCACCTAGGTTATCTAGTTTTCCATAGTATTCAGATTGCTTCAACTTTTCTGCTTGCAGGAATATGCTGAACTTATCCATGAGTTTATGACAGCTGTCAAGCAAAATTATGGGGAGAAGGTCCTCATTCAGGTATTATTCCATGACTGAAGGCATTATTTCTGTGGTCTCTTGGACTTCAAAACTTCCTTGGTAAAGGATTCCTGAAACTGTTGTGCCTTCTCTTTCAGTTTGAAGACTTTGCAAACCACAATGCGTTTGATCTACTTGAAAAATATAGTTCAACTCATCTTGTATTTAATGATGACATTCAGGTATGAAATTCTTGTCTTGAGTAATGAATTTGGGACTTTGATAATAATATCTCATAATATATTATCTTTATTTCATTCCAGGGGACAGCATCAGTGGTCCTTGCTGGATTAGTTGCTGCCCTGAAAGTAGTTGGAGGAAATTTAGCTGACCACAGATTCTTATTCCTTGGTGCTGGAGAGGTGTGTCCATATGATTATAAGATCACTTTTCTTTCACATTTGGTTCAAGGAAAGAAAAGTTTGAGTAATTTTTCAATGTCAAGGAGTAGTGAAAAAGTATCATGTCCTCATGGCTGAATTATGTTGGTTGGTGGTTGCAGGCTGGCACTGGAATAGCAGAACTCATAGCTCTTGAAATTTCTAAACAGGTTGATAGTCACATTTAGAATGCCATCATGGCTTGAGCATTGCATGTATTAGTTGATATTTGCTGAGATATTGCCATTGGTTGTGCAGACAAATGCCCCACTTGAGGAAGCACGCAAGAATATCTGGCTGGTTGACTCAAAGGTTGTTTACAACCCTGTCTGTAGCTCTTCCTTTTTAAACTTATTTGTTATCGTTCGGCTGAATGGTCTTCTGTAACCTGCTTCAGGGATTGATTGTCAGTTCCAGAAAAGAATCGCTCCAACATTTTAAGAAACCGTGGGCTCATGACCATGAACCAGTTAACAATCTATTAGATGCTGTGAATGTATGCTCCACAGTCCTTCCTTTCTCAGTCTCTCGCTCCCCACCCCCCCCCCCCAATCACACATACACACTCCTGAATATGCACAGGCAAAAAAAGTTTAAATCCTTGCATTTCCTATCTTGTTGTCTCAGAAAATTAAGCCGACAGTGTTGATTGGGACATCTGGACAAGGGAAAGCCTTCAGGAAAGAGGTTGTTCAAGCTATGGCCACCATTAACAAGGTATAATTTCTCAATCATTCCATTAATCTATTTGTCACGGGTTTTTATTTCTGGTTAAGCTGGCTAACAATGTGCTTCATATTATAATTCTTGTAGAGACCTATCATTTTTGCTCTCTCCAATCCAACATCTCAATCAGAATGTACTGCTGAAGAAGCATATAAATGGAGCAAGGTAATGTGAAGATGCAATTAGCATCTTTTCAGGAGAACTTTTTTCCTTATCCATTCTTATGATCAAAAAGGAAAACACTTAAGTAAAGTTCATCAAATGTTTACAGGTTCTCCTGTGAACAAATGAGGTTTGATGAAATCTTTTTGACAAGGCAATCATGTTGTGCTGAACTGGGAAAAAAAATAACAACATTGTTTATTGAAAATCTATAACAAGCATGTAAATTTTCGTAAATTTTTTCCGCAATTATATTGCCAGGGTCGGTTTTCCTGACCAGTATGAATGACTAATACCAACCATTATTGACTGCTTTTTGTGTTCCTTATCCATTTGCTATCAGGGGCGTGCTGTTTTCGCTAGTGGAAGCCCATTTCCTCCTGTTGAGTATGAGGGAAAAGTGTTTGTGCCTGGCCAGGTCCTAAATTCTATCCCTACCCTTTGAAGAATTTACGTATGCACCATGTACTTGACACTGACACAAGAAATAAGGACTAATTTGGGATTCTTTTGGTCCTCTTTTGTGTCTATCAGGCCAACAATGCTTACATCTTTCCTGGATTTGGTCTTGGCTTAATAATGTCTGGGACAATCCGAGTACATGAAGACCTGCTTCTGGCAGCCTGTAAGTGCCCAAGAAACTTGAACTACAACAAATGGTCCATTGCATTAAGCATTGTTAATTTTCAGGACCACAACAATTCTTCCTCTATATTAATCTCTCCCAGCCCTTGTTATGACTTTTCATTGTTTTCTGAAATGTGATATAATTTAAAACGCTCAGACACTTCCCTTTTTAAGGAATTTATGCAAATTTCATTCTAATTAAAGAAATTCCATGAAGTTCCAATTCAAAAAATCCAAAGCTGAACTTGATCCTTCAGAATTCTCTTAAATTTTGGTTGGCTTGATAAAATAAATTTTGATGGTTACAATTCACATTTGTTTCAACAGCGGAAGCTTTAGCTGCACAAGTGAGCCAAGAGAACTTTGACAAGGGGCTCATATTCCCACCCTTCACTAACATCAGAAAGATTTCAGCTCATATAGCTGCTAATGTTGCTGCCGAGGCTTATGAGCTCGGTGAGCCTCTTTCAGTTTTTATTGCTGATTTGGAACTAAAAATCTCACGCAACTTGTTTAAATCTATGAAGCCTTTCTATATTTACATAAATTGACCGTTCGTTTTACGTGTCAGGCCTGGCCACCCGCCTTCCTCAACCAAAAGATTTGGTGAATTATGCTGAGAGCTGTATGTATTCCCCTTTATATCGTGGCTACCGGTAAAGCCACGACACAACACATCAAGGACTTTATCATTTCTTGGTTTGATCATGTAATCATTATACTGTCATTTTTTGGTTTTTTTTTTTTCCTTCACTCAGAAAATGCCCTAATTCATGTTCTGTGGGTAAGTGATTGGGTCATCATGGGTTAACTAGGTGGGTGCTGGTAGTTGTAGTTGGACTTGAGTGAATCAGTTAATTGCCCAAAGATGTTGTGTAGTTGTACTATTACATATTCAAAATTTCAAAAGTAAAGCACATCTCAAAATCAAAAAGCCTTTCAAGTATTTGTGTGCTATGAGCATCCTTTTTGCACTCAGTCTGGTATATAATGTGAATGTGATGGAGAAACACCAAAGCTTCAATTTAGTCTGTGTGGAAAGTGAAGAGAAAAGGGACAGAGATTCAATCAGGAAGACTGTTTTGCGATCTGTGACCACACGGTTTCAGTTTTCAAGTGACTTGCGTCACACCGACGATGACAATTTTGAACATGGCTGTATATCACTATCCCTAAATTGCAGGCTTCAACTATCAGAAAAAAATATCGGAAATATTTAATGATAAAGTAAATGTGTGATAGATGGAGAAAAATGAGCCCCACCTTTTGTGGGACTTACCTGCACTGACGTAAATCTTACTTGCCACTTTCTATATTTGGGAAATATTTTAATTTTTAAGGAACGAGGTCTGAGTTTCCAGATATCTGATTCTAGATTTAATATTAAAGGTTGTTTCCTACATGTGTGATAATAATGATTCGGCAAGGACAAAGGAAGAAACTAGTGGACATTGTTTATTGGAAGCCCTGCCCCATAGCCATAGACATGCCAGCTGCAACATAATTTTCTAGTTTTGATGGTTCTCAAACAAATATTCTCAAATAAGGCCCCAAAAGAACTTTAAAGTCTATTTAATTCAATTATCAACTCTTTTTCACTTGTAATTTTTTTAATCACAATTAGTGAAGGAATTGATTTCGGTGCCCATCAGTAATGATAAGCATGATAATTTGAACTGTCCAAATTAAAAATAACATTTGTTATAAAAAAATATAATATTCTAACCCCCACTTCAAGAATAATTTTATCAATTAAAAATTATAACTTTAAAACTTTATTCGAGCTATGGGAATCAAAACAAGAAATTCTTGCATAGATGCCATAGTTTGGGAAGAGAAGATATCGTAACTCTTTAATTTAAAGAATAAAAAAAAACATTTGATCCAGTATGATGCATATATAAAAATCTGCAAGTACTTGAAAAAAAGTGAGAATAGTAAATATGCTTCACGATAGGATTGATAACTGGGATACGAGCACATAGCATTTACGAATATTGATTAGACTTTATTATTTATTTTATCCCTTCTGTGTATATATTATAATTGGGCGTAAAGTGAAATACAAAAGAATGAAAAAAATATTTTTCCTCAAATTCCACGATAAATGTTGGAAGAATAATCTGTCACATTTTACATACTGCAAAAGTAATGCATGCATTTGGTAAAAAAATATAATCTTTTGTAATAAAAGTTCAAAAGACTCACTAAAACATGGAAACTTTTCAAGATTAATATAATTTTATTTTTATTTCTTATTATACAAAGTTTTTAATTACTGGAAATAAAAAATAAATAGTTTATATTTTAAAAATTATTTAACTCCACTGAAAAGAACCTTGATTTAGGGGACTTGAACGTGTATACAATCTCATCATTAAAAATTTTATCAAAAGGCTTTTTTCTATGAATTATATAATTTTTCACAAAATTTAAACCATAAATTCACTTCAAAAAAGAAAATTAGTAAATATGAAAATGATATCATGAATACTTGTGGTGGGCCTTAAGGCTCCCACGGCCTCGCATTACAGAGCCTCCAATGGGTCAGAATGGAAACACAGTAGCCATCTTCGGAAGCAAGCATAAAATGACGCTCTAATTGCCATCTAGTGTTGCTAGGGCTTCATTAAGAAGTCTCCTTGCTTCCTCTCTCCTTCTGGAATAAATAAATATATCACATTATAAAATTGGATCAGCAAAGATTAATAACAAGACAATGTCAGAAAGTTCATGCCGATGATGGCATTACTATACTCGGAAAACCACTATCGGCACCCAGGCAAACCAAGCAAAAACAAGGTAAATTATTAATCACAAATTAACCCGTCTGCCTCCCTAGTAATAACAATAAAACCAAAAAGAACTAGTTCTCTCTCTCTCTCTCTCTCTTTCTAAAATGGCTATCTGACAGGATCAAATTCGAACATTATTGGGCCCAATTGAAGATAGCTTTTCCAAAGGTATTTTTTATATTCACAAGGACTCAAACTTGAGATCTTGTACTTAAGCAGCCATAGCAATTTCCACTGACCACAAGTTCTCTTGAATATAACAATAACAACAACAAGCCTTTATCCCACTAGGTGGGATCAGTTACATGGATTGCAAGATATTAGTATATATGTTGTGATAATTGGGCTAGGCCAATGGGCCTGATATAGTTGAGTCATTGTCTGACAGCTAGAATGAGCTAACGACTATATATCTAGATGTATCAGTTCAGTTTAATCTCTAGTGAATAATATTCAGATCATTTCGATATTCTCTATGTACTCATAACCCGTAAGGTGATGTATTTGTGAGTCAAGTCACAAGGGAAACCGGCCTACTTTTGGAAGAGCTTCCTCGCATAACTGAGAATGAAACAAATCATCCAGAATCCAGAATGAGCACCAAAAGAGCTTTTGCTATGGACTATACTGCTAATGTAGCTTCAGTTGTCCTCTCAAACAAACAAAAAGAGAGTATTGTTTTTGGACATAAATTCTGAAACAAAGGAATAAACTCAAGACGCTTGTTTTAAAAACTACTCAAACCAAATTTAGAGTCTAAACAAATATCATTCTGCAATAACACAATATTAAACATGATAAAATAAGAAATTAAACTTCCTTAGGCTCGTATGCAATTTAAAAAAAAAAACTTATAGAACAAACATACCTCTTTATGTCCTCCACTGCTTGTTTACGACGCTGTATTTGAAGTTCTAAAATGTGAATCAATGTTGCTCTTGCCTACAGATTGATATACAAAAATATAATTGAACAATATTCCAAAACTAATGGTAAACTATCAACAGCATGCCTGCAGGCAAAAATATATGAACAAATGTAGAAAATTATATTTGGAACCTGATGCGGGCGCAGTGAATTTAGAAGATGATGCAGGTTCTTGAATACTAGAGATATTTCTTCTACTCTTCTAGCATACTGTGAAGGTCTCTCAATGAGAATATCAGCAAGCTCCAAAATGTGTAGCTGCAAGTCTCCATTAAGTGATCTCAGCTCCTTCTTATAATCTACAGAGAACAGACAGAAGGTCATCAACTTTTATCAGGTATCAAACTACAGACAAACACATGCACATCCCAGTAGAACTGATAACAATAAACAAATTTAAAAAACAGCAAAAGAGAAAACATAAATTATTTAACCCCATTAAAACCAATCTCTTTACCATGCCAGTTCAAGTCTCAAATCATTTCCTAATCTAAAATTAGTAATAATTTTGGCAGAAGATTCAACGCGCTTGACTTATAATGAACAAGACCACAAACAATAGCTCAACTGATCATGTATCCAGGCCAGGGATTTTCTCATGACAAAAGTCCAAAAGTAGCCGTGAAGTTATTAGTGTATTCGCTCTGTTAGTGAATTAGTTTTACTCTTTGTCAAAAGTGACAGACAGAATTTCTCCTCAAATGAAGTGCAGAATCAAAATTCACAACAGTAATTCACAGATAGAAAATAATAAATTATTGATACTTAATGGTGGACTGTCCCATAGAAACATATCACCAAAGTCAACAATTTTCTTTTGCCAGACACCAAAGTAACAATATTATTATACAGCTAAATCTATTTCAAATAATATATGTGGTAGTTTGGTAACATAATCAAACTGAATAAACATGAGGCAGAATATGGCCTACCAACATCAGGACCCTTAGGATAGAGTTGGCGCACTCCCTGCTCTTCCAAACTTGGTAGATTGTCATCAGTCTATAAAAATTTATTGAAGAAATTAATAGATGTTATCATACCAATGAAATTCAGGCACAGAAATGTAAAAGAAAACTAATGGAATACATCAAAAAACTGTATTCCAATTTTGGCAAAAAATCAAAACAATGCAGCAAAAGCAAGTACAAATGTAGTTCAGACCTACAACAATAAACTTCCATTTTGCAAGCCTATCATTGACTCACTGGATATGTAAGTTAAAGGCACCAAGAGGCCTGCCTCATGAACTGAAGCCAGAAGCCAAATGGGATTCAGGCACAGAAATGGAAAAGAAAAATGGAACAAAAAAACTGCATTCCAATTCTGGCAAAAGGTCCAAAAAAAAAAAGCAGCAAAAGCAAGTACAAATGTAGTTCAGACCTACAACAATAAACTTCCAGATTGCAAATCTATCAATATCATTGACTCACTGGATATGTAGTTAAAGACACCAAGAGGCCTGCCTCATGAACTGAAGCAAGAAGCCAAATGGGATCCTCACCTCAGGACAACTCAGGCAAACTGCCTTTTCCTTCCATGTGCTCACTTTTTGGGTGTTTAGATACCCATTAAAGGGGGGCAAGGTAAGCCCCATTAACAACTTGCTAAAACATTTTGTTTAATTTATTTTTGCAACCACTTCAAGATAATGCGCTAAAAATGAAGTTCAGAATTTATATCAAGTTGATGCAACCCATTAGCTTTGTATTTTACAAGTCAAATGCTATACTTCTACCAATGTTAAGCAAAACTGGATGAGCCACATCATCTCCAACGCCCTTCAAAATGTTGTGATAAAATGAAAGCAATATAGGTAGAGATAGGGGATATGATAGGTGCTCAAATGTTTAAAAGAAATAAGAGGAATAAATCTATTAAGATGATATAAAACAAGAATCTCGTTCTATATCTCTCTTAATAGCCACGCTTAGCAGAATCTCCAAAAGGTTTAAAAAACTATTTTATTAATAATGATATGTTAGCTTCTAGGTTACTGATCATATTTATAATGCTAAATACAATCTAAAATAAAATCTAGAAAACTATCTAAGATAATGAATGAAATTTAGATAACTAGATAACTAAATAAAATCACCTCAAATCTAAAATACTGAATAAATTCTAAATAGATAAAATACTGAATCTAAATAAAATCTAAAGAATTAAACAGAATCTGAAGAAATATCTAGAAACTAAATAAAATACTAAATCAAATGAAATTAATCCTAATTTATCTTTTGCCGCTTCCTTATTGAATAAGTCTGAATTCTATCCGGAATCTTATCGGGATAAGAAAGGAAGGTTGAGCATAAACCAGGTTATACAATCTGATTTAGCATACTATAAAGTTTCTAATGTTCATGCTTAGATTATAACTCAATTAGCAACAGGAACTTTTAAAACTCTAACCTAAAAATTATTATAACAAGCATTCAATGAAAAGAATAAGTTCTACACATTATCCAGACTTTACAGATTATTATCATATTCATCTTGTAAGTATACTATAAAAAATTTTTATGGCTAACTTGTGTTCTTTATTCATATCATTTCCCCTCTCCACCCTAATTCAGTTGGGCATATGATATTTTAGGTCCTCTTAACACACATGGCAAGGGGCTAGCCCCTTAATGGCACCTTCAACCTTTGACTACCTTATTTGCTGACATTAACTACCAAGACACCAAATAAGGGAAAGAATGCATTTAAACTTAAAAACCTTTGAAATAAGCAGACAAATATAAGACAATTTAACATTCCATTACAACCTGAAGAGTTAAAACGCAAATTAAATTTGCAGAGACAAAACAAGGCTTTTCAAGTATCAAAATCACACAAAGAAGGAGAATTCCTACAGTGTAATTGCCTCCAAAACAAACATAAGTCCCTTCTATAGGAGGGGGAGGCTCTGGAGCTGATTTAGGGTCTCGCAAATAATCTTTGTAGAGTTTGTAATAGGGCGGTGGCGGCGGATATGTTGCTGTTGCCATAACAAGGTCTTCTTACTAAAACCTTGGGCATTGAAAATGAAAGTAATAAGCAAATTAAGTCAAGCATAATAGCGTTGCTTACAGTCTAGAGGAAATAAAAATGACAAGTTCACATGCCTGAACTAAAGGTAAGACTCCTCAAAAGTGAAACAAACATATAGATCACAAAATTAACTAGTCATGCACTCACCCCCAACACTGGGAAGTTTCACAAGTTGGAAACCAATTGTAAGTTTAGTTACTTGTTGACAGGTTTGTTCTATTAGTTCATGCTCTATCCATGATGAACATAAAATATGTATTGGCACTGATATATTCTATTTTTGGCTAAAAAAGAGAAAGATAGAATCATTACACTGTTCTTTGCATTGACCAACTAAGGAAAAGTTGTACTTAAGTAACAGATTTGCCGGTATCAATACACTAAATAGAAGCAGAATATATAGGGGATTGAAGTTACTGCAGCTTCTCTAGTTTGTTGGGCAATTCAACCAGTGAAGACTAAAGAGGAAGCTCAGTGGATAGATGATTCAACAGTTTCACAGCATGCACAAAGAACTTAGCACTTGCAGAGTTGCAACCTCATTTAACAAGACAATATTTCAAATGGTCACAATTAGGCGTTCTTAATTAGCATATCAGTCATTCAAAACAATGCTCATTTCATTCCTACAAAGAAATAGGGATTCTACATACGTTAATTTGATCATACACATTCAATAAAGAGTCCTGCAGTAACATTGCAGGTCACACATCACCAACTCTGACGGCTGTCTCTTGCAAAGAAAGAAGAGGCAAGAGAAGGGGAAAATGATCGTCATTAAAAAAGAGAAAGAGACTAGAATTGAAACAAATACCTAGCTGGTTGGGAAAAGGTGAATGACATCGATGATGTGTTCCCAGCAACATTGCAGGGAACACATCACCGCTGTGAAAGCAGTGAAGAAAAGAGGCAAGACAAGAGAAGGAGAAAATGGATCAAAGATAAAAAAGAGAAAAAGACTAGAATTGAAACAAATACATAGCTGGTTGCCAAAATGAGAATGACATCGATAAGTGGAAGAGTTAGATTCAGGTCATACTTATGCATTAAGGCTCCGTTTGGTTCGGGGGGAGGGGAGGGGAGGGGAGGGGCTCCTCTTCCCTCCCCTCATTTGGTTAGGAGGAGGGGAGGGAAAATTTTTAAAATTTTCCCTCCCCTCCCCTCCAAAGCCTCCCCTCCAAATTGGGGGGGAGCTCCCCTCCCCTCCCTTCCCCCTCCTCCCCCTCCCCTTCCCTTCCCTCCTCTCCCCTCACCTCCCCTCCCCTCCCCTTCCCTCCCCTCGAACCAAACAGACCCTAAAAATTGACTCGGGAGGAAGTGATTTCAGTTTCGGGTACTTTTAATCAGGGCTTTCACATGAGTCCTGGATACATATTAATGCAAGAATCGAAGTTCATTTTCTTTAGAAAAAGAGGATATCAATGAACACATGAATTTGTATTTTTGCACTTTCTCAACACTCTCGGAAATTACAAAGAAAGACTATCGTAGCATTACAGATTCAACGAAACAGATGAAGGGAAGAAAATGAAGAAGAGAACATCACGGAAGAAAGTATCGTCACACTCACCAGCGGGACGTCAACGATTGGCCTCCTCCGACGGAGTAAAGGTCGCTCGGCTTGGCAGGCAACTCCGACGAACGGTGGATGCAGGGTGGCTGTGCTCGCGTTTAATGAATAATGAGGATAATTTTCTGCCCAAAAAAAAAACAAAGAAAATAGAAAAGAATTCAATGCAGATAAAGCAGTCATGAAAACGGCGTCGTTCAGATGCAGTCGCAGCTGGCTCGATCTCAAAGACCTCCCCTCAACTCAACTGTTTTTTTTTTTTTTTTTTTTTAATGAAAACACTGAACCTTGTCAAAGAAGATTACAAGCTAAGGCAAACAGCTCTCTTTCATCATCCACCACTTTCACATAATAAGGTAGAAATTGTTCATGGATAGTATCACATACATTGTTGTTATGTACATGAGTTGCTAACAAATGAGCACACACATTCACTTCCCCATGCATAAATTTAAAACTAATGTTCCAATCTCAATAAAAGAACATCCTAGGTTGATTAATGGTCTCACTTCTTGTAATAAGATTAATCACCTTTGTACAATCCGTGTAGATTTAGGCATTTTTAAATTTTCACTTCTAATAACACTTTAAATCTATAGTAATACCAAATTATCAATCACTTTCATAATAGTTGGAGAATGCTCTCTCCGTCCTTATATGTAAGGTGTTTTTTAAAAAATTATTTATTTTTAAATATAAGGGGTGGCAATAATATTTTTGAGTAATTAGATAATTTTATCCTTATCTTAAAAACTAGAATAGATCATTAATTATATGTTTTCCTTACCACCATTATAATATTATTAGAGGTAAAACTGAAAAATCATTATGTTTTTATGTGAGTTCAACTAAATAACAAACTTTTATTGATATATAAGATTCGATTAAAAATATCTTATATGTAGAGACGAAATGAATAGTTATCAAGATTAGCATTGAAACCACATACCAAATCAGCATTATGATCTTACTACGTCTTCACATTTCCCAGGACCATATTTGCAGGAACCATCCACATCCAGTCTCACCTTATTACAATTTGGTCTCACCCAGATGTCATAATAGCAGTCGGTTTGCCTTCGTGTCAAGGAGGATTGCTTCATTAGTTGGATATTTGCTCTGGCTTTGTAAAGAGTTGTGAGTTCCAGGCTAGAACTATCTACATCCTCATCAGAAAAAACATGCTCACATCGTGAGCACCAAATATCCCAATTAATAAAACTGAAAAGTACATCCCCACGAACCCGTTTGGTGATATTGCTCTCCGCATCGATTGTGAAATTCCAACTAAGCCAGTCCTCACTATTAAGGCTTTTGAAGGTAGCCCCATAGTTCGGATTAACTCAGCAACTCAACTGTTTGGATGCTTCATCTGTGATGCTTTTGCTTGGGCGGCTCCACTTTTCCACAAGCTTCTTTTAGTTTTTTTTGGGCCTGGTCCTCCGCATTCTCATTCCTTAACTCTCTCATTATCTTGGGCCGAATTCAAGCCACCTTTATTTGGGCCGAATTTGACTCTTCATTTTTACTTATCCTTTCCTTTAGTCCAATATTCACAGACTCTCAGTCACAGACACAATCCTTTCTCTCCCCTTTCCTTGTATATATTTATCTGTCTTTATCTATCTTTTTTATATAAAAATATCTCTTTATCTTAAAAGAAGCATAGGACTAGTTTAGTTGTTATAAAAGATAAAAAATGAAATTAATTAAAAAATAAAAATTAAATTAAATTACCCTTTCTTTGATAATAAGTGTAATAAACCTCAATATTATATGTCACAAAGATAGGGATCATCACATCTTTTACAAATTTCATGAATTATAACTCTTAATCTTATAAATTAAATTATCCTTCCTCCTATTGAATATGACTCACCCACCTTCTCTCTGCATTTTAATGATTTTATTTTAATTATATTCAGTGTTTGATAGTTGAACATAATTATTTCTAATGGAAGGATATCTATGCGCACCCAATATATGCCTACACACACATATAATTTTTGTTCTTTAAAATTGTGATTCACTTAGATCAAAATTTATAAAATTTTTTATTAAGCATTAATTTCTATAATTGTGGTGAGCTTTAGTTAAAAATTCCGCATGATACCAGATATTATTGTTATATTAACGACATGTCGTCACCACATTAACATTTCACTGTACTAGCCTTATAATTTACTTATCGTAATTTCTTTTTGTCAAATTCAATTAGGTCTCAACTTAAGAACCTTTAAAAAAAACAGAAATTTAAGGGATTGATGCAAAACATCAATTCAAGGGGCAACAAATTTAACCAATCATATTATTTTCTATTTTTCAAACACGATCACATTGAAAAAAATATTAACTTTGTGACTTGTGGTAGTTTAAATAAAATTAGCATCGTTTCTGGACCAAAAAATAAAAATAAAAATAAAAATAACATTATCATCACTATCATAAAAAAGCAATTTGACGATGGAAGCAATTAAAGGAGACTAAACAAGTGTAAATTGTGAGACACGCTGCATGTGTCGTGCATTTTTCAAATCTCTTATCCTTTTCTTTAGCCACTTCGTTTTCATCCAACCACAATATTCTTAATTAATACATAAAATAATACTTGCAAGCAACCAGGCTCTCCAATATTCTATACTTCTCCTATCCTCTTCATAAATCATTTCTATCAATCTCATCCATATCAATGTAAAAAATATAAAAAATAAAAGTGTGTAGAATTTTAAATATATGCCCTTATATAATAAGTAAAAGAAATGATGTTATGTTATTTTTTTTTCATAAAGAGTAATTTTAAAAATACATATTAAATATTATTTAAAAAATTATATTTTAATTTATAAATGAGATCAAATGAATTTTTAAAATATGACTTATAAATGAAACTGAAGATAACGTAGCCTGCCACAAATTATACTCAGTTAGTCAGTTAGATACAGTGTACCATCAAAGTCAAGGTTCCAAATCTGCAGAAAAATAATAAAATATTAAATATCATTTTATTTTTAACATTATACAGGGAAGTTTTCGCTATCTTCGTTGCTCGTATTAATAAACAATACAGTGATAAATGTAACCTCAGATATCCTTGGAAGCTACTCACCAAGATAACATAATTTAAACATGTTTGTATGTGCGTTTGATATCTCATATAATAGTAGTACATTATAAAGTCACCTAACCCTGACTTTCATACTCTATTAAGACTTTGTTTAATACAATGCCAAATTATAAAATTAACGACGATACTCTTTTGTAATATTCATTATACTTTTATTATTCATATATATTTAACAAATATTTTAAAAATCATCCTATTTTTCATCCTGTGTATTTGTCAAATGCCAATTTTTTTTTTTAAAAAAAAGAACATTATCCCATGGTGTTCGCATGTCCGGCAGATATTTTCTTCAAAGATAATATAGTTTATGGTTGAACAATTTGCTCCCCTTTCTTCCTGTCATGAAATGCTTCAAATATTATTTTCTTGTCCCACGAGCAATGTCCATGGGTTCTCCAGAGGGTGTACCTTGCCAAAAAGTTAAAAGACTCTGGCACATATTATTGAACCAATGTTCGCATTTTCAACCAATTTGTCAATATTAAATTTAAAAATTCCAACAAAACCCTGTTATACTATTTATAAATCATGAATAATGCAACACATTCCTCAAATTCTTTCTAAATACATGAAGAAAAATATTTAATTTTAAAAATATTTATCCATCTATTTATCAATATAAGTGTATTAAAATTGCCATACTCAAATACAGCAATGTTAAAAAAACCTCGAACAGCATAATGTCTCTTTAAAACTCATTATTGAGAAGGTAAGTTAACATCGTGACTCCTGCATTGATTCATTGAGCTCTTTGTCTATCTCTATTTTCTTAATGTTTTTTCATTTTCTACCTCTTTCATTTTGTGAATTTTTGCGCTTATTTGATTTTGTTTTCTAAAAGCTATTTTTTATCTTTTAAAATAAAACATAAAAAATTTTATTTAGATAAGTATTTTGAATTTAAATAATTTTAAAACTGTTCTATTTTTTATTTTTGAAAATAAAACTGAAAATATCTTAAAAATATTGTCGTTTTATTTTTTTGTTTTCAAAGCATTCTGCATTTCACTGTTGAAAATTATTGTCGGCCAACTATATTCAACTATTATCATAAATAACCATCATTAATCACCCAATAACTACCACCATATATTGATTTTTCAACTCTAAATTTTCTTTCAAATTAACATAACCAATCAAATTTTCCTTTTAGTTTCTTCTAAAAATAATTCTTTAAAATATACTATAAATATTTAAAAACAAAAATTGACAACACAATCAACAGGCCCCTAGTCTTTTTATTTCTGATTCTTTAAATTAATTTATATGATCAATCTAAAATATTTTATTGAATCATTGTTTACTTTTGTCCATTGCATGCGCAAAAACTCTAACTAATATACAAATAAAGTTGAGATGATATTTTAGTTAATTGAGTTCAACATGTGAAATGGAACTAAGTTTATGATAATTTCCAATTTGTTGGCGTAGGCTGTAATATAATAGCTAGAAGTGTTGTTTAATTTTACCTTAAAAACCATCATAATTATAACTTTGATTGAAGTAATAACTTGCTTTTGTCAAAAACTATGGTCTTGATAGTTTTGTGAAAGAAAATATTTTTATGCACTCAGTTTAATATAAATAAAGTACCTATATCCAATCAATTTAAGGCACGTAGATTTTTTACAAATTATTTACATTATATTAAAATATTTTTAATAATATTATTAACATTTTAAAATTACTTGTTTTAATTTAATTGAAATACAGGTATTAAAAATATAGGATTAATTATACAAGTCTTCTCTTTTATAAAACCAAATATATATTATCACCAAGGATAAGGATTGGTATGGGAAATTGCATCTATCTAGAGCTTAAAAAATATACTCGTTCAAAAATATAAAGTGTTTTTAACTGAATCTCACCTTTTAATAAAGTAATTATTTATTTTTAAATTAATCATATTTTTTTTCTATTTATCTCTATTATACACCGTATAATAAATATAAAGTCATTTATTAATAAGGATACTTCTAAAAAAGGTAATGATTACTCTCTGCGGTCCTATTTATAAGTCATTTTTACCAACCTCATTTATACCAATACAATAAAAGTACAAAGAATAAAATTTTATAAAATTACAAACATAATCCTCAAAAAGTAAATAAACTATATAATATTATTTTTTTATTTATCTCTTTCTTATTTTTTAAGAGTAGTTTAGACATTTTATTTAAAATAAAACATCATTATCAATTCAATAATTTATAAAGTGGACCACTTCACTTTTTTAGAAGATGACCTATAAAGTATATCAGAGGGAATACATTTTAAAAAATTAAAAATACCTTACATTTTTTAAACAGAGAGAGTAAATATTTTTATGTTAGTTAAATAAATTAATGAATTGACACTTTTTCCTATGCATTATATGGGATTTTAGTAACGAGTTTATTGATTTCATATTTGAAGGCATTTCAATAAAAATAAATATAATTATAATATATTTTTACAATTTAGAATATAAAAAGTGCAAACTGTGTGTAATTTAACTTGATATTCTGACATGTTGAAAAAAATTAATAATCTAATATTTATAACAAATGAGGGTAATTTAATTAAATCATAATGATTCAGGGTTGATATTATGTGTTAGAGATGTAATTAGAATGGAAGGGGGCTTGTTGCAAAAACAAATGATGAGACAGAGACAGAGAATATGAAACACAATGAAGATATTCCCTTCAACATGCAGATTAGAATGGCAAGGGACATAAACAAACAAATGTGGCTGCCCTGAATTTGATTGTTCAACCCCACACACACAATACATGTGGGCCACCACCTTGTCCACGTGGCCTATTATTGATCACTACTCTTCGGCTCCCCAGAATTCTTGTCTCATCCCAACCCCCACGTCACCCCCCCCCCCAATCGGCAATCCTCTCGTACATCCCGTTGATTGCGTTAGAGCCTTCCCATTTACTCCCTCCGACAGTTTTTCACGAATGTTTCAAAATATAAGAGATTTAAAAAATTAAAATTTTATTAAATAAATTTATTTTAATATTAAATGATTGTTATTTTTGAAATGTTATATTTTTATTTTAAACACAAAGATTTTTAAGTATATTTAATAAATTTTTTTAACATATAAGATTATTTAAAAATATTTTATAATTTAAAACGTAAGGAGTAATTTTTTTAAATTAAAATTAAAATGAAAAAAAAATTTCATATTATTTCATTATTTCTGTTAATTGCATGAACATGCACATAATTATATATGTGTGTTTGTGTATGTATAATATCTTGCATTTTTTAAAGAAAATGTGATATGTGATTTTATATTATATAATATACTATTACTTTTTATCACAAGGAGTAATATAGAAATACCCATAAAATTCATTTTCCCCTTACTAAATAGTACGATGACTTCACATGTGTCTATGTTATGAAGTGAGAATAGTTTATTTGTCTCAAATTTTTGTTAAGAAAAGCACGTAACTTAATTGATAGAGCTTAATCATTCTGATCAATCGTCCTGCTTATAAATATCTAGAAAATTAAAATAAGCTTGGGGACAAAATTTGATTCTTTTGCGAGGACAAACTTTGTATCTGTGCATGCTCTCCAACCATTCATTACCTTAAATAATAAAACACAAATCCAATCCTTACTGAGCATAGTGTAGCCGTCCCTTTAAATGACCAAATCCCCCTATCATCATCATCATCATTATGTTTTCTAATAATCTTGCATTAAAATAAACCATGAATTACAATTTGATTGTATTTAAATTTTCCTCAACATAGCTGGCCAAAAAATTAAACATGGATTCATTCATTGCACGAATTTTTAAAAATAAATGTTAGACATTTATTTTTTTCATAATTAATTAATAATTAAAATAAACCATGAATTACAATTTGATTGTATTTACATTTTTCTCAACATAGCTGGCCAAAAAATAAAACATGGATTCATTCATTGCACAAATTTTAAAAAATAAATTTTAAATTATTAATTATTTATGAAAAATACAATTCAATGTGAATTTTAAATTATACTGTATTATATTGATTGATCTTAATTTTATGTGTTAATATTATATTGAAAATATGTTTGTTTGCCAAACTATCATTAGCTCCATTGAATACGTTTGTTTTTAGCTTGCTGAAGACTCTAGTAACAGGAAAGAAGGACGTAATCCTCATTCCGTGCGGAGAACGAACAGGGGCAAAATGGCCATTACAATGAAACCCAACGAGCGAACCACCGCGTTCCACTAATCCTCTATTTCGTGCCTTAAAGTTACGTACCTTATTTACCCCTTCCCTAATAGCTTAAATCCATATCTGTCCGTTTCTCTCTCTCTTCTCTATTCCTTACACACATGCACTCTCATCTTTTGGATATTCACCACCCATCTCTGATCGTTTTGTGCTAGGAACTGATCGCCTGCGGTGACTCGAAGGTTTCCGAAGGCGGAGAATCGGCATGACGAGGCGGTGCTCTCACTGCAGCAATAACGGGCACAATTCACGAACATGCCCGTCCCGTGGTGGAGGTGCTGGCGGCGGAAGCGCTGGAGGTGTGAGGCTATTCGGTGTTAGACTCACCGATGGATCCATCATTAAAAAGAGCGCGAGCATGGGGAATCTCTCCGCCCATTATTATTCTTCGTCGTCCGCTGCTGGATCACCGAATCCCGGATCACCGTGCTCTGAGCCGCTCCGAGACCTGGGTCATGAGCAAGACGGGTGCTTGTCTGATGACCCCTCTCATGCCTCCAGCTCCGCGAACCGTCGTGGAGAGAGAAAGAAAGGTATTATTGCAATTATGTTCGAAGCATGTATTATTATATTTTATTTGGCCGGAAAAATGAGGAATTATTTTAAGAATTGAGTTTGTAAAATTTTGAAAGTTGATTACCCTGGATTCTCCCTGCGTAAAAGTCATTTTGTTTTCGGGCTGAGGAGCTATTTTGCTCGCCCTATTGACTTCCCTTATCATTTTGGCTTGTCCCTGTTTACTTTCATTTACATATCATAAAAGACCATTGAAATACTTAAGAAACTAGAACTGGGCATTTTTTGTGGATGGTGCAGTTAAAAAGTCTTCTTGGTAGTTTTAAGTTGGTTAATCTATCTCGAAAATTACTTCAGTTAATGCTTTTTGGTTGTTCATTACTGTTTATTTCAAATAGGCTTCCTTCTTATTTTTATTCCTTTTTCTGCTGGCATGTTTTCTTTCTATTGCACATTTTATGGGCTTGCTGCTAGCATAATTTTTTTTGAGACTCTCAGTACTTGACAAAAACCACACTAAGGGCATGTCAATCAATCCATTGGTGGTGTTGTTGCCAATGTATTGGTAATGTTTTTTGTATAAGGGAACAGTTGGGGCTTGTAAGTAGGTATGGTCCTGGGGATGTCAGTTGAAAAGTTTATACTTCCCAGCATGTTTTGAACTCACTTCTGGATAACCTTAAAGAGGCATCCGCTAAGCATCATGATTGACTAGAAAATTGAATTTTCTATTTAAAAATTACCGCAATTCTGTATTTCTGTTCATATGACATCTTTCTCAGGATCACATGTTTTGATAAGTGTTCGGTTCTTCCACCCTGATCATAGTTACATGCAATTGTTCGTCCAAAACAACGCTTGGTTTCTGGCATTAGTTTTCAATAATTTCTTTCTTTTTCTTGGGTAAGTTCATCATTCAGTTTAAAGGCAGAAGCAGGTCTACCTAGTAGCTCAAATAAAATTGTGGGAATAGCTATCTGACTTTCAAGCTCAAAATTGAAGTCTTGGGAGAAGTAGCAAATAATTTAGCAAGCACATATAAATGTTGTTCAGCTGGATACTTCAAATGGTTAGAATAAGTGCACTGATTGTTGTGTTTGGTTTTAGTACAGAAGATTTTTTTCTTCCCTGAAAAAAGTCATATTCTTATAGTTGATTCATTACTTCCTGGAATTTGCATTGAACCTGGTATATTTAGTGTAGTTTCATGTTTCTCATTTTTGTCGAGTTTTTTGTTATTCAGATGTCTGCTGCAATTTCAGAATGTTTTTTATCCTCCTGGTTCCATTCAAGAATTCTCTTTCAATAGTTACTGGTGAAATTTGGCTCGTTTTGGCTTATGCATTGTTCTGTACCAATTTCCTTCAGCCGCTTGCTTTTTTATAATTGAACTTGAGGCTTCATCTAATGACAGTAAACTATCTTTGGGAAGTCTTGATAGCATGATTTAATTCCTTTGCTGTTTTCTCAAGGAACATTTGGCAATATTACTTGAGTCCCTGGAGATTGTTAAAAATTATAGGTATAATGCTATTGTATTAGCAAATTGTTTTTCTAGAACAAAAGACCAAATGCTATACCTCTTTATCTCTTTCTAAGCTTTGGAGTTTCTGGGGAAGGGGTTGGCAAGTACTTGAAATATATTAATACTTGTAACTAGAGATGAACAACAACAACAACAAGCCTTTATCCCACTAGGTGGGGTCGGCTACATGGATTGCAAGACGCCATTGTGCTCTATCATTTATTAAGCTTTTAGAAATATTATTAATTAAGAGATCACGTTCAACAACTTCCAAGAGTGTTCTCTTAGGCCTTCCTCTACCTCTCTTAATCGGACTCAAAGTTATATGTTCCACTCTTCTCACTGGTGCCTCCCTTGGTCTTCTTTGTACATGCCCAAACCATCTCAATCGATTTTCTACCATTTTTTCCTCAATAGGTGCCACCCTCACTTTTTCACGTGTGTGCTCATTTCGAATTTTATCTTTACGTGTATGTCCGCACATCCATCGTAACATTCTCATCTCTGCTACTCCAACTTTATGCTCTTGCTGTCCCGTTAGAGCCCAGCATTCACTACTATATAACATTGCCGGTCTGATAGCAGTACGATAAAACTTTCCTTTAAGTTTATTAGGCACCTTACGGTCACAAATAACTCCTTTAGCTTTTCTCCAATTAAACCACCCAGCTTGAATTCTATGTGAAATATCTCCACTGATTTCGCCATCATTTTGAATAATGGCTCCCAAATATCTAAACTTTTCCACTTGAGGTATAATTTGATCTCCCAATTTCACTTCCAAATTATTTTCGAATAGTCCTTTACCAAATTTACAATATAAATATTCCGTCTTACTTCTACTCAGACGAAAACCTTTCAACTCCAATGTCCTCCTCCATAACTCAAGTTTGCAATTAACCTCTTCTCTTGTCTCTGCTATAAGAACTATATCATCCGTGAAGAGCATATATTTCGGGATTTCCTCTTGAATATGTTCCGTCAAAACATTTAAAATCAAGTTGAACAAATAAGGACTCAGAGATGATCCCTGATGTAGTCCAATCTTTATAGAAAAATCCTTTGTTTGACCACTAGGCGTTCTTATACTAGTTTTTACCCCCTCATACATATCTTGTATGGCTTTAATATAAGCAATCCGTACTCCCTTTTTTTCCAACGCTTTCCAAAGCACTTCTCTTGGTATACGGTCATAAGCTTTTTCCAAATCAATAAAAACCATGTGTAGATCTTTATCTTTACAACGATACTTTTCCATTAATCCCCTTAGTAGATAAATTGCCTCTGTAGTTGATCTACCTGGCATAAAACCAAATTGATTCTCAGAAATACTTGTCTCCAATCTCAACCTGTGCTCAATTACTTTCTCCCACAATTTCATTGTGTGGCTCATGAGTTTAATCCCTCTATAGTTAGTACAATTCTGAATATCTCCTTTATTTTTATAAATAGGAATTAATGTACTTCTCCTCCACTCATCAGGCATTTTCTTGGACCGTAAAATCACATTAAATAACTTAGTTAACCATCTCACCCCTTCTTCACCTAAACATTTCCACGCTTCGATAGATATACAATCAGGTCCGTTAGCTCTACCATTTGCCATTTTCTTAAGAGCTTCCTTTACCTCCTTATCACGTATTTTTCGATAGAATGACAAATTTTGTTCTCCTTCACCAGTTACTAAATCCTCCAAGTTACTAGATGAATCCTCTTCATCATTGAAAAGTTTAGAAAAATAAGTCTCCCATCTATTTTTAATTTCATCATCTGTAACTAAAATTCTTCCCTCTTCATCCTTAATACACCTTACCTGTTCTAGATCTCTTGATTTTCTTTCCCTACTCTTGGCAATCTTATAAATATTTTGCTCTCCTTCCTTCGTCTCAAGGTTCTTATAAAATTCTTCAAAAGCTTTGGAACGAGCTTCACCCACAGCTCTCTTAGTTTCCTTCTTAGCCATACGGTACCTCTCTCAATTTTCCTCATTGTTACACAAATGTATGGCTTTAAAACAGTTCTTCTTATACTTGATTTTGTCCTGTACACTATTATTCCACCACCAAGACTCCTTATCTCTCGGACCAGAACCTTTCGATTCTCCCAAAACTACTTTTGCAACCTCCCGTATCTTTTTAGCCATATCCTCCCATATGATGTTAGCACTTCCCTGAGAATCCCAAATTCCTTTATCCAAAAGATTTCGCTTGAAAATATCTTGCTTCTCACCTTTTAATTGCCACCACCTAATCTTTGGTGTTACTACTTGTCGACGTTTTTGGATTTTACTCATAATACACACATCAAGGACTAGGACCCTATGTTGTGTCGTTACAGCATCTCCAGGGATCACCTTACAATTTTTACAAAGTTTTCTATCTGTGTTCCTAACCAAAAGAAAATCAATCTGCGACCTTGAGGCTCCACTTTTGTAAGTGATGAGATGCTCATCTCTCTTCTTGAAACAAGTGTTGGCAATCTTAAAATCATACGCCAATGAGAAATCAAGAAGAGTTTGCCCTTCATTGTTTTGCTCTCCAAAACCAAAACCACCATGCACCCTCGCATACTGACCAGCTTCCCTCCCGACATGCCCATTAAAGTCTCCTCCAATAAAAATCTTTTCACTCTGTGGTATGTGTCGAATCAACCCCTCCAGATCCTCCCAAAATAATTCCTTAAGACTGGCTTCTGTCCCGACTTGCGGCGCATAAGCGCTAACAATATTAACAGTCTCACGTCCAATTATCATTTTTAAAGAAATAATTCTGTCTCCAATTCTGCTAACTTCTACAACGTTCTTCTTCCACTCATTATCTATAATGATGCCTACTCCATTGCGTGCACTTACTTTTCCTGTATACCAAAGTTTGAAACCTTGAATATCCTTAGCTCCTTCTCCACGCCATTTTGTTTCTTGCAAGCAAAGGATATTGATTTTCCTTTGAATCATAACCCCTACAACCTCTACAGATTTACAATTTAATGTCCCAACATTCCAAGTACCAAATCTAATTTTGCTCTTATGGACTAACTTCTTTAGCCGCGTGCGTCCAGAATGACGCGGTAGCCCTTGCTCATTTAACACTACATCCGGGCGTCGATGCAGCGGCTCTAACTCACTTATCACTGTACTCGAGCCATGCAGCGCGTTACTTACGGGCAACGACCTAGCATTAACATTATAACGTCTATTGTCCATGTTCATGATAGATTCAACAAATTTTTACATTGGCTGTTGATGGCCTAACACAACCCTCCTCCTTTACCCGGGCTTGGGACCGGCTATAAACATAGGCGGAGTTGTAACTAGAGATGAACATGTTCATCAATTTCAATTGACATATATACAAAATATTTTAGCTCAAGGCAGATGATATATGGGTTCTGATATTCTACGCTGGGCAGAAGCCAAAATGTAATTTGGTGAAAATCAAAATGAATTCTAGACCAACAATTTGACTCTTGAAGGAAATTATCTGCTTCAAATCCCAAGAATGATAGTTATCATGCACAGCCATCATGGTTTTTACCTTTTAACATTTTTGCATTTTATGTGACTGTTATAATTGGTTGAATAAACCTTTTGACTATGTATTGCTATTAATGATTATTGTCTCCGATGATTATTTTGTTGTGTTGGATTATCATACAGCAGCAATGTAGTTGTCTCACTGGGTATGTTTTGTGCCTTTTGCAAATAAATATCGGTACTTTTACTCAATTCGTACTGGGCGTTTTAGGTGTTCCATGGACTGAAGAAGAACACAAGATGTTTTTAATTGGTCTCCAGAAGCTAGGTAAAGGAGATTGGCGTGGCATATCTCGCAATTTTGTTGTGTCAAGGACTCCTACTCAAGTAGCAAGTCATGCCCAAAAGTACTTTATCCGGCAGAGTAATGCTACTAGGAGAAAGAGACGTGCCAGTCTTTTTGACATGGTTGCAAATGTGGTTGGTTTTCATTCATCTTATTTATTTGAGTTGTTTTTTTAGTACAAAATACATATCTACTATGACCAACAGTGTTGTCTCTTGATTGTGGAAAATGATTCATCTTAAAACAAAGAACACAAAAAATTGCTAGTGTTGTCTTAGTTTTGCTTTTAACTTGAAGACCACTGCATAAACAATCTGAATAATCATGACCTAGTTGTGTTGACTTTGTGCAGCAAGTTTCTTGTGGAAAGCTTGCTTCGTTTTTTGGGGAAAATGCCATAGTCTGTTTGGCTTTTAATAATATGTTAATACTTGAATAATAATGTAAGAGAAAATATTTAGCTTTATTTTTCCACAGCTAGAAGGACAGAATGGTTGTACCTTGCAGTCTGTTGGGCTGCATGATGCTGGTTCTTGCTTTAGACAATCCAAGTAGCAATGTTGCATTGCTGATTCCTAAGTAAGCTAGTGAAAGCAATGGTGGTCATCCTAGATTCCTAGTTGTAGCTGGTCATTGATTATGAGTTAGAGCTGATGATTAACTTATATTTTGTCATTGTCTTTCTTTCTTTAGCTATTGACTGTTTTCTTAACATATCCTAGGCTTCAAATCCACCTTCAGTGCCAGAAGAACAAGTATTACTGCCACCTTCTGAGAACTCACAACCAGGTATTGCAAATTTACAACCATCAATAGATCTCAACCTCAAGTCAGAAATCGAACCCATGGAAACTAATTATGAAGAAAATGCGGAAGAGCCCAATGAAACTATGGTAGTATCAAGTGGATTGACACCAGTGGCTAGCGGATTCATGCCAACATATGTACCTGTTGCATTTTCCTTATGGCCATCAAATGCAGCTCCCTTTGAAGTTAAGGAAGCTGAGACAGCTCATCATCAGGTCCTTAAGCCAATCCCAGTCGTTCCTAAGGAACCAGTCAATATTGATGAACTTGTAGGCATGTCTCAACTGAGTCTTGGGGAAACACAAAAACGTGATAGAGAGCCTTCCCCACTTTCTTTGAAGTTGCTGGGAGAGCCCTCAAGGCAGTCAGCATTCCATGCAAATGCTGGTGGTTCAGATTTAAACAATGGCAAGAGCAGTGCAATTCAAGCAGCTTAAGCTTTTAAATTCTACTGATGACAGAAGTAATTAAGCCTTTTTGTGGTCATGGTTCCATTTGTATCTTGTACTATTCTATACTTATCTTTGTCTTTTGGTTTTGGATCCATCTTGTTATCTTCAAGTAGCAAGATGTCATGTCATGTAGCTCAGGATAGATAAATTCATGAAATTTTTATTCTTTCTGACTGTAAACAATTGGAAGCTTGAATAATCAAATGACCACGGGCTCGGTTCCTAAAGATTTGGTAGATATTAGTTGACTTGCTGGCGCTGTGTGTTATGGAAGCTGTTGCACTGCTGCAATAGGTATCCTGTATTCTTGTGACATGTGAGTTTAAAAATCACCTTTTGCTTGATAGGGGGAACTGCGGAAGGTGGATTAGTTGAATCATTTTGTCATTACACTGTCCTACTTGAACGAATTCCAAGGTAGCCCCTTTTTCCAAATACTCGAATAAGTTAGCCCTTTTTATCGAAGATTTAAAATTATTTCTGCTGAATTTCTATAGCTGTTGCAATGACATTAAACAACAATAGATCCAAGCATTACTTGGCTATTTCAGTAATAGCAGAGTGAATGTTGATAGCATAATCCTTCCGTTGAACTGTATTAATTGAAATAAGGAGGATCGTCTTTATATTTGACCACGTTCAAGGAAAGGTTACCGTTGATTCTTCTGCAATGGGCATGCAATTACTTAAAAAATACTTGTGATGACGTGCATTATGCAACAATGAATTGCTCAAACAGTGAAGCTTTTCCACAATGTTATTGCTACGTGGTTTTCCGGTAATAAATGTCACGGGGGTTTGGCTGTTCTTCAACTTTTCTCTCCTTGGGTTGATATTCTTGTGCGTTTCCCCCAAATCTATACCATCTATTATTATGGTTGCAGAGCTGGATTCTTTCAGGATGCTTCATTTCGATAATACTTGTGCAGTTGGGTTCACAGTTATTTGGGAAACAAGGCAGTCTCTTGGATTTGATTTCTTGAAAGCGGACTTAAAGCAACATTATATGCTACCTCTCGAGTATTCTCGAGTCTTGGTGGCCCAAACCTCATTTCAATGTGGTCCTTGCTTTTTCAGGTTTGCGCTTACGAGGATCATGTCTTATTCATCTATTTGGATAAAATTTTGAGAGATAGCCAAGGTTGGCTTTAGTGGGTAATGGCATGCTGCTTTCAATAATGTTTTCCAAGCAAATGGATTCTGATAATGAGCAGAATTTGATGCTGCCACTGTAGAATACCTCCCTAAAGTCACTAAGAAAGCAACCTCAGCTAACCCCTCCATCAGTGCATCAATACTCAATGGCTTGGGATTATCCGTTTCAGAACATTTTTGATGAGGAAAAGAAGGAATAGGGATATTTTTTTGCCAGGCCTTAAAGCTGCTAATGCTTCTACGTGGCAACCCATTAGGGAAGGTCCTATGAGCAGCTAATTCTTTGACGCGGCAACCCATCATGGACACTGACGTTGCACTCATGCTCCTTTCATTGCAATTGGATCTACTGAATGTGCTCTGGTAAAAACATTAATCACTTCACATTCTAAGATTATAATCTTGCTTTTCTGGCATGGAGATTCATTCATTTTAAAGCCACGTCTTTTTCTGTCATATGAACGGCATTATAACTCAATTCTGGCTCCTGCAGACAACTGTAGATGAAATGGCATTATAATGACTGGAAAGCAATGATTTTCTGCATGATTGGAAAGCAAACTGGCAAGGGACCAGAGAAATTGTTCAACAGACTACGGTGTTGTTTGGTTTTCAGTATTTGTGAAAATTGGTTTCGAGCTTTAAACAGCGTTTTGCGGCCTTCCACCACATATCCAATCATGCTCTACGATTAGAAAAGATAAAACAAATCAAAGTGTAATTATGTTAGAAGTGGGTCTCACGAAGAGAAATGTTTTGTGCTGTGTCTAGCTTGGCATGCTGATGCAATAATTTTCAATGGATCCAGTCATAAAATCCATGGACATGCGACGGATTGATGATTGTCTGGGGTGGAATTGATATCAACATAGGAGATAGTGATGAAAGAAAAGAAGGGCAATCTGCCAAGCTTGAAAAAAAGACACAGAAACCAGATTCTGATCCCCTTCTTCCACCCACTCAAACCCATTGAGCCTTTTCGATTATTGTATTTCAAAAAACTCTTTACAAAAGAGCAGATGTGACCGGTGATGTAAAAGGAACCATCTTATTGGGAGGAGGGAAGGAGTGTTTGTCTGTGTCCTCTGAATCAATCAAACCATGGAGATATGAGTTAGTGGTTCAATTGAGAATTAACTCGAAAGAAAAATAAGTTATGATTAAAATAATATAATTTAAATAAAAAAATATTAATTATAAAAATATTCAATTAAATTCAAGATTAATCTCTAATACAATATATAAATATAATAATAACTATAGAATTGCAACCACCCAAAAGTCTAATAATAATAAAATATAACTTTTCAAATATTTATTCTTACAATTACAATTTACAACCTTTCAATCATTAAAAAATCTAAAACTACTAATCACTAACACAAAAATAATCAACAACGATAATCATAATTCATAAATGTTAAGTAATAATCAGATAAATGAATAACAGCAAATAATGAAAGATTAAAACAATTAAGGTACAATTAACTTAAAAGAATACTGAATCTTCTAAGTTCGAATTTACAATTAAGGCTCTCTATTCGAAATTCAAACCACAGACAGTGAAATCTAGTTTAATTGCCTTGCCCTTCATTGTCTCGCTTTTTAAATTTTCAAGCTGAATTTTTTACTTTTTATTTAATTTTTACAATTTAAAAAAATAAAAAAGGTGACCTGATTGACCCAACAACTTGGCTAGGTTAGCGGAGTTATCTCAGGTTGACACCAGATCAGTGGCTGACTGATTTACATGGAAACCCAAACTAGGAAAGAGATTAGGTCATCGGTTCACGAGCTAAACTAGCCCGTTCGGTTTGAGTTTCCATACAATGGGAAAGAGAAAGGCAGGCAGAGATAGTCGAACTGTACTTCTCTCATTCTATATTCAAAGTAGAGAGAGAAGATTTATTTTAATCCTATTTATTATATGACACCTCAATAATTTTTATATTTGTCTTCACTCTTTTACTCCTATTTAATGTTAGAAAAATTATTAAATATTAAAATATTTTATTTTTAGAGTAGGTATGTTTAATAAAAATAAAGTTAATAACTTATTGAATTTTTAGATAAAATTAATTAACTTTAAAATTTTTTATGGTTTTGATAAAAATGTTAGGAATGATTTAAAAATAAAATTAGGGGGAGTAAATCACAGAAGAATAGGAAGCTCCTGTCCTTTCACTCCAGTGTGGCAGAGGAATAAAGAGAGAATTTCTTCCCCAACACTTGATTTCTCCTTTTTAACATTTTGCTGGAATTATAGGCAGAGATGAACAGAGACAGAAATGACGTGGACCACTCAGGTGCATCCCCAAAATTCTTATGTCAATCATTGGCATTTTCCCCCCTCTTAATGTTTCTTCCTTTTCTATATTGGTTACTTGATGATCGTCCTTCCTTATTCTCTGTCCACCATATCTTCCCACATTAACCTGGCTTAAAAAAAAAAATAGAGGGTGTTTTCATGCATCATAGAATCCATAAACTATGCAGTTTTTTTTTTCAATTTTATATTTTATATTGCTGTTAATTCAAACAAAATAAGCTGAACATCCTAGAGCTTATTATTTGAGAGAAATTCTTAGATAAATTAAGTACAATCATTTATAATCTATTCAATAAAAATATAACATTTAGGTGATATTAAATATAAATTAATTATAATATTAATGATAATAAAAAATAAAAAATTAAATATATATTTCATTATATAAATAAAATCACTTAAAATGATGTTGTATAAAATTTTATTTAAATAATTTAAAATATTTTAATTAAACACATCATAAATGATATCGCACAATCGATTTTTAAAAAAACTTCTCAGTTTAAGAGGGACAGCTGTGGAAACAAGCAAGGAGGACACAATATAAAAATAAAGATAACGGGAAGAAGAGGATGCTGTTAATTTAGGAGTACCACATAACATGAAACACGTGTCCTGTAAAAGTAATCTTCTGACAGTAAAAGATGGTTGACTTTGTTCAAAATCAACGAGTGGGAGAGTGAGAATGGTCTATCATTTATCAGAATCAGTCGATTACCACGCTCCCGAAACAGTCACTAGTCTATTCCTTGTTTCCTGCAGCCTCTGTTTCCTTCATTTAAATCCTTTAACACTAGCAAATACTTCCATTATATTAAATTATAAAATATTTTTTAAAAAAATTTATTTATTTTAAAATATAAAACATGTTGAATAAATTAAAACTTTATTAAATATATTAATTATAATATTATCTTTTTTATAATTAATTTTTATTTTTATAATATATTCAATTATAAATATTTCTAAAAATTTATATTTTTATTTTAAAAAAATAAAATTGTTAAATATATTTAATAATATTTATTAATATCTTAAATTTTATTTAAAAATATTTTATAATTTAAGATGAAAGCAATATCATTTAATTGAACTGTGTTTGCATGATTTCAGACTCTGCATTGGGACGAAACATATCACAGTCTGCATTTGGATTGACATGTCTCCGGCTGCAGAAGGCATTTGGTGCTCATCAATTTCATCACCCTATAGGAATGCTATGAACTCTTCATTTTTTCAAAAACAATCTTTTTCGTTGATTTTAAATTATAAAAAATATAATATTAAATATGAATTGTTTTTTATACGTATTAAAAAATAAATTATAGAATTCATTATATTTATTAAAATAAAAATATGAAAAAATATAAAAATCTTTAATAGATATGTTTATTATCAATTTGATGAATTTGAATTAAATCTGAATGATTCAATTTAATATTAATTTTTTAAATAATTTTTATACATTCACTGTTACTCTAAATAGTATAGATATTATTTAAAAAATCTAATTTAATATTATTTCAATGTACTTTAGATTATCCAGATTTAACATTATAATTTTTCATAATTTTTATTTTGATAAATAAAAATAAAAATATTTAAAAATAAATTTAAATTAATGACATGGATCATTTGAAGAAAAATGAAGGGTCTATGTTACCTTAAAAGTGATGAGCATGGAATGCAATTTCCTTCAGCTCTTCAGTATTTTAGAACCCAAGAATACTTTTGATCTTGTTATCGATAAAAATTATGAAGTATTATTATGGTTTTAGTATATGCAATGTAAATGCTAATAAGGAAGCTTGTATTCATATACAACATTTTTTTTGGGTCAGAATTCATATACAACGCTTGTGATAATATCTTCACAAGCTATTCTAGAACTGACGAGAGACAGAATATTTGAGTAAAAATCTAAGTTTAATATTAAGCAAAACGTCCTTTCACATAAACATATGGTTTGGTAACTTTTGCTTACCTGTACATGTAACAGCTATGAGAACCAAAGCTCATTCTGGACTTGAAAGATGATGCATTTATAATAATATTATTATTTTTTGGTGGCCGCAAACAAGCTTTTTAGCTCTCCTTTTAGGATAAATTCTTTGTCTCGCGCGATGCTTATTTTAGTATTTTCATAAATTAGTTTTCTTTTGTTGCCATTTGCTTTGAATCAACTAACTTGAAAACGCAGAGCATATGCTATTTTGGTATATGTCTCCTGATATCCAAATAGAAAAGAACTTGGCCACCATCAACTCATACTGATGTCAATAACAAAAATTCTCCTTATTTAAATAAATAGCTAAAAGTTTGATTCTCAACCTTCATATATGAAATATTTTTTTATAAAAAAATATAAAATATTTTTGATTAAATCTCATTCATCAATAAAATAATTAATTATCTTCAACTAACACAGTATTTTCATATTCAATAGAGTGTTACATTATTTAATAAGATATTTTAGTTTAAAATTTTATTCTTTTCATTAAAAAATATAAAATATTTTTAGTCAAATTTTACCTTCAATCAAGTAATTATTTGTTTTTAAATTAATATCATATTTACATATATACCCTTATTTAATTGAGTGTTTTATTTTAAAATAAGTATAAAGTGATTTATTTATTATGGACATTTTTTTTAAAAAAATACATTGATTACAGTTTGTAATATTAAAAATATTTTATATTTTTAAACATTAAATTCTTCAAAAAAAATATCTAATATTTTTTGAATGGAGAGAATATCAATTAAATGATATCCTTGATTTTACCGAAAATAAAAAGAACTTCTCCTTTAAATGCCTAGAAGAAGAAGAATATGTTCATGCATGCTAACCTATATGTGATATGTGGATGAACTTTTAAGATACACATCTTGAAAACTCATTCATACTTGAATTTAGATGCATTATGAGTAAAGGTTAAGCATAGAAGAGAGAGCATCACAATAAATTAGTTAATTGTATGAGAAATATCGCTAAGTATCAATAGTTGGTATCAATTATATATTCGATTCTAGGTATATATAATGATATCTTGTGTCAACCCAATGTATTTCCTGGAATTTATTGATGATTTCTATCTAGAATAGATAATGCGATGCTTAAATGATGGACCCAAGTTCCGTACAGGTACTATTTTTTGAAATTACAGAGTAGTTAAAAGTATTGAGCCTTTTTCAAGTTATATCGATTTTATGGTGAGCGTGACAATAATTTGTGAGCAGGTGACGCTCGACTTCAACTGAATGGATGTATATATCACCAAAACATGTTTAAGTGAATATTATATTCTTTAGTTAAAAAATTATTGTTTTAAATCTCACCTAGAGTAATTATTTGTTTTTAAATTAATATTATTTTTTCATGTTTACTCTAATTTAATAGGGCTTTTTACTCTAAAATAAATATAAAGTAATTTCTTCATGACGAATACTTGAAACAAATAATGATTATATTTTAAAATACTAAAAAAATTTTATATTTTTAAATATCTAACTTTTCAAAAAATACCTCATATTCTTTTAAGGAAGGGAGTGTATTATATATACTTGTCATCCATCAATACAAAATATAAATAACAGTAGTATAATATAACATATACTCGGTTTCTTAATGTATAGGAGCTATATAAATAATTTACAACGATTTGAAAAATCAGTTAAATTAGTTATTTGTAAAAAAATATATACTAAATTTCTTAAAATATCTCCTTTAATCACTTATATTGAAAACCATCCTATTGATAAAATCTATTTTAATAAATGGTATCAATAGGGATAGTTTGAGATAACAATTACTCATTCGTTCAAAAATATAAGACATTTTTAATCGAATTTCACCCCTCAATAAAGAAGTTACTTATTTTTCAACTAACTTTATTTTTTTATATTTATCATTATTAAACATCCTACAATAGGAGTATGTATAAAGTCATTATCAATAAGGTACTTTTAAAAAAAGGTAATGATCACACTTTAAAAAATTAAAAATACTTTATATTTTTAAACGGAGGGAGTAAAATTTTACATAATAAAGCTTTGTTATCAAATTCTTGAGTTAACTCTCAAAGTTTGTTAGTTTTCCATCTCTAGCTTACATCATGTCAACTTATACATAAACTTGAACTAAATACATACTCAATTAAACTTATGAGATGACTTCCTTCTATAGAGCCGAGAATATAGGTCAAGTTATGTGAGTTGGCTCGAATAACTAGTTATAAGGGTCGGGTTGGGTTGAAAACAAATTGACCCAAATAAAAATGAATTTTTTTTATCAGGATCATATAACCCATGAACCATATGAGTTAGGGTTGGCTCGTTTAACTCATTATTTTATAAAAAATTAAAAAAGAAGAAAATTTTTTTTTATAGATATAAACCATATTAGATGTGCTTTAGTTAGTTGAATTAATTTATATATTCTGTACAAATATTATAAATTAATATTTTGATATATTTAGAATGAATATTAAATTAGAACTTATTATTTAGGTGTATTTTTTTAAAAAAATTTATAAAAATAAATTAAAAAATAAATAAATAAATTGTCAAGTTAGCCCATTTAACCCTCCAATAGGTTGGGTTGTGATTTTTTCAACCCATTTAAAAACAAGTTGAATTCAACCCAATTCAATTCATATTTCTCTCAATCCATATGGGTTAACCCATTTGAGCCGAGTTAGCCCATATTCCCACTTCTACTTCCTGGATTTATTGTTTTTATGTTTTTAACTAATAAAATTATGTTAACTCACTTATAAACTTAAATTATATACAAATTCAATAAAACTCGCTAAATTTATTAATTTTTTACTAAGTTGAGTAAGTTAAGTATATATTGTATAGAATTTAGCTCATATAAGTGGTAGGATCTTATTCAAAGAAAAATAAAGCTCAAAAAGCAAAAATTAATATTAATAAAACAACAAGAAAAATATCAAAATAAGTTAATTTCTATGTTGAGTATGATAATCTACCAATGTAAATGAATTTAATTTTAATTATTTATTTTTTAAAAAATATTCAAATTAAATTATGATCATATTTTATATTTTAATTATTTAATTATATATTTTTAATGACTATTTATTAATAAAAGTAAATCCATATGAATTTATGATCAAATTTACATTTCATTTAAAATTTATATAAACTCACGAGTTTGACAATCTTATAATAAATTTAATTAAAATATTATATTTAGGATCAAAACAAGCCCATAAACTAAGTCTTACATTTATGATAGGAAGAGGGAAGCAGTAATAAAATACAATGATATTTCCTCCCTATTTAGTGGGATGTTTATAATTTGTACAGGTCACATGTGTGGGCAGAATTTGAAATAAGTTGTTAATTTTTTTTTAATAAGACATGTGGATTCAAATTTTGCAAACATCATACAAGATACTCTCCTCACCAATGCTAATGAAGGGTAACTTTTACTTGCTTATAACATCTTTTCTTTTTCTTAAACCAGCACTAAATGGAAAAAAATACCTAAAACAATTAAGGTTTGTAGTATTTTAAGTCTTTCCAATTAAAAGGACAGTTTAAAAAACAAAAAATTGGAAAATCTTAAGGGAACAACTTTATTCAAAAAAGTTGCGTTTTGTTTTTGTTTTTTTTTTAAAAAAAATTTTAAGATTGTTTTCTTAGCGCATGGTTTCTTGTAAGTTACATCTAACTTTTCAGCACCTCTTTCTCAGCTATAAAACCCAGCATCCCCACCTCCAAATCCAGCATCTCCCACCGAAGCCTTCTAAATTATATTTGTCTCTTTTTAAGCCTACCTTCCTCCTTCACTCTCTCTCATGGCATCTCGCAGGCAAATTGCTGCCATGAAGCAATCCCTCTTCGACCAGGTTCTTCTTCTTCTTCACTCCTCATGTTATAAGCTGAACTTCCTCTTTCTGAAGAAACGCATTTGATAGTGGATTTTACTACACACACACACACACTAGGAAGATTGTATTTTGCATTATGGGTAATAAAGATAATGGTAGTTGTATAATGGTGTCATTCTTGCGTTTAGTTACGAGGCCATTGATTGATTGATATGGAGAATCTAATACTGCTTCTGTCCTGTGCAGGGATATCTGGATGAACAGTTCATTCAGCTCGAGGAACTGCAGGATGATGCCAACCCTAACTTTGTTGAAGAAATTGTCACTCTTTACTACCGCGATTCTTCAAGACTTGTATCAAACATAGAGCAAGCATTGTAGGTCATATTCATCATGATCGTACCTCCTTTTGTTTCTGTGTCTTCTTTTTTCTTCTCTTTTATTCTAATGATTCTGTCATTCCATTCTTGTTCCAGGGAGAGGAACCCACTGGAATTTAACAGGCTAGACTCTATGATGCAACAGTTCAAAGGAAGCAGCTCAAGGTAATGACAGAAAATCTCAGAAGGATACCGTACTGTACTATACTATCTTGGCTTGTGATAACAAAGGACCCTGATGATCTGAACTCTTAATGGCTTACAGCATCGGAGCCAAAAAGGTGAAAGCAGAGTGCACCCTGTTTAGGGAATATTGCAGGGCTGGAAATGCCGAGGGGTAATCTATCTTTCACTTTTGGTTCCTTGTCTTGACACTCACTCACCACCTACTACTTGTGATGACCCTCTAGATAACCCGTGTCCTAGCTTCTTACGAAGAGCCAAATCATAGAACAAACTGTCACAACGAGTCATTATTGCGTAGGTTCAGTATATGTGAGCTCACTAATTAGCATTTAACACAAGCCCACCTGTCAAAAGTTGTATTAATGAACATGGTATGTTGAGCTTACGCAAGGGGAAAAAAACGATTGTATTTTGGCAATAATAGTAGAAATGCTGTTGAATGAATATATGCAGATGCAAGAGGAGCTTCCAACAGCTGAAGAGAGAATATGCCACACTGAGAAAGAAACTTGAAGCTTATTTTCAGGTGAGTCTATGTTTGATGCATTTTGTCTTTGTTATAAGAGGAAACAAACAATTGGGGATTTCTGTGATCATGTTTTCACCATATTATGCAGCAAGCAAGGCAAGCTGGGCCCTTTGAGGCAGCATGTCGCCCCAAGTAAAGGCTGATTTGATAAAAATGCAATCTTTGAGACAAACGTAGTTGGTGGATCTTGAGACTGAGAGTACATATTCACCTCACAAGAAAAAAGAAGGAAAGGCTCTAGTGGGTTTGGGGATGATACTTTGCTTCCAAATATCAGTTTTGTTTTTCCAAGTTGAATATGTAATGCCCTGAATTTTGCTTTCTATAGTGTAACTACTAATGAACCGCATTGATCAAATTTGAGTAGCTTCAGGATCCAAATTGATGAGTACTAGAGTCAAAGTAGTATAACAGTGATGAGCACAGAGAGTGAACAAGAATAAATTAGATTCCTACACTGTTGCCTTATATAGAAAGAATAATGTAAAATAATCATACTATATGATATCAGTTCTTTTGGCCAATTCTTTTTTTTATTTTTCTTCAACTACATGACTGCGAAAGAGCTAAATCTGAAATCTAAGGCCTATGTGTCCGACCATGCATTTTTTTGGGTATAACCATTCGATATTCAAAGCCAATAATCTCGACGGGGCTAATTTGAATTCGAGCATCATGAAACTCCAAAGGAGGCAGCTCTTTCAAGCATATTTTTTCCATTCTCATGGCCTCATGGATCAAATCCAAGAGCTCATGGTTAAGGAAAGTTAGATCTCTTGCCATCTAAACCAATATGTGTTGGTTGTCAACCATGTATTTAAAAGAAGAAAGAGAATTTAAGTATTCTCCACTAAAAGTGAGCTTTATTAATTATTGGAGGCTCAAATTAAGAAAGGCCCAATAATAAATTTGGTAAGAAGTAAGAACATGGTCTAACTCTTGATCATGTTTGAAGAAAAATTTTTAAGTTGAAGGTCTCCATGTTGAAAATTGGAAGGGTTGATTAAGATGCAATACTATTCTAATTAGTCAATTATTAGACTGTATGAGCCATCCAAATTTAATCTAGGAAAGAAGATAACTTGATAACATGTAAAACCTTCTCACATTCAACATTAAAATTAAAATCAACGATGGCCTAATCAAATTAGGGGAAAACGAAAAAAAGAAGAAGAAAAGAATCTCAGTTATGATTTTCTTGTTGAAAACCAAGCACCTAAAATCTGGAGCCAAGAATTACTCGGAAATTAATGTGTGGAGATTGGTTTACTAGTCACAGTATTCAGCAGAACAAGTCTTGTAAAATTTTAACAGAAGCTCTTCTCAATTGATGTATCCAGATATGGCAGGCTTTCCGTATTCTTGTATGACTGTTAATTAATAAAGTGCCGGGGCTTCGCCCTGAATTTCATTTAAAAAAAAAAACTCGGAAATTTTGATCATGAGTATGTTGCAGGTGACTTGTGACTTGTCAAAGAGAGAGAATATGGAATGAGTTTGAGGCTACTTCGCTGTGTTGGAATCAAGTTATTAAAAAAAATCAATTTTAAAAAATGAGAAGTGGGAAAATGATCGAAAAATCTTTCTTAAACATGGAAATGATAATAAAATCCCAAAAAATATCATAACAAGTCCCTAGACCTTACTATCATTAGCATCTCTGGTGAAATGATTAAAATACTCTCAATTTAAATTTAAAATAAAAAAAATAGCAGCTCCTGCCCCAAAAAAAAAAAGCAAATATCAATGACCATTAAGTAATAATTATTTTTTTCTAATAATTAAAATAAAACAAGTAATTACAACTTTTTATATGCAAATTTTTGATCCATTAAAGTTCAAATATTATAAATATTTATGGCCATTGTGATTTAAGAAATAACCAAAACTGAATAATTAATTACAACTTTTTTTATACAAATTTTTTATTCACTAAATTTCAAGCGTTGTAAATGTTCATGACTGTTTTACTTTAAAAAATAATTATTTTTTTAGAATGATTAGAATAAAATAAACAATTACAATTTTTCTTATGTAAATTTTTGATTTATTGAAGTCAAAGTGTTATAAATATTTATAATTATTTAAATTTAAGTAATGATTATTTTTATTTTAATAATGACTAAAAGGAAATAAAAAATTACTACTTTAGTTTAAACTGAAGGTATTTTAATTATTTTATAAAAAATTATTAATGTTAAAAAAGCCTCTAAAGACTTGAGAAAAATTATAGTATTTCACAATATCTTAATGTCATTTGCATATTTTAAAAATATTTTTCTACCATTTTTTCATAAAAATATTTAATTAATGTTCTCTGTTATCATTTCCTATTATATCTTCTCCATTAATTTTTTTTTTGAATTCATTAAAATTGCCCTTCTCCTTTCTTCCTCGCCATTCTTGTTGCGTACAAGAGTGGATTATTTGATTGTTCAAATATTTTTTGAGAGAATTACATCTAGCCTTTTCTTAAAAAAATTTACCATAGATAAAGATCAATAATAAATTAATTTTTTTAATTATGTTTTTATTTTAACAATAATTTATTTCATATTGATCTTTATTTATAATTAATTTTTTTGATAGAGAGTTGGATGTAATTTTTTCATATTTTTTAATTAAAGGTAATTGTATTGATCTGGCGATAAATATGAAAATATCTCTGAATAAACATTTAAACTTTGATTCACGAAGGACGCTAGACTCAACTTTATTCTTGGCATCGACTGAACAGAGGGATATTTAAGATGGATTGACTTAAATCCGAACCGACCCGAGTTTTGCCCGCGCTCCGCATTGCCACGGTCTGGCCCGTTTGAGAACAGTTCTTTTCCTCTGTTTTTTCTTTGAAAAAAGGTGTTGAATTTGTGTCAGGTTGCCCGAAGAGAAGCTTCCTCCTCCCCGCTTCAGATCACTTCTCTCAGTTCGACCTCTGTGATCGCCGTTTTCTGTGGGCCGGCGTGATTGATTGCAAATCCTTCTTTTCGTCTTCGTGAGCATCAACACACGAAGAGTAGGACTCCAACCCCCTCAGATTTCATTTCTCTCTCTCTCTCCTGCCATTGGTTTTCGTTGCTTGTCACTCGCCAGCCACTACTGCTCCACAATTCACCTCTTCGTCATCGCCATAAAAACAGTAGTAGAGGAAAATCTTCACCACCAGCCTTTTCCACTGCCACTGGACTGCTGGTAAGTGTCCTGTTGTTTTGATTCTGTGTTTGCCGTTGTGATGTTGCGTGTGTTTTGTGGATAGAATGCCAAAAAATGAAGATAGAGATAGGGTCAATGCTTTTCTTTGGATCTTGTTAGTTTTTTCGATTGCTTGCCATCCGCTAATGGTTTGATTTATTTCCCTCGTTTGTTCCTCCTTGATTCTTTGGGGTTTTATGGTAGACGTGGTAGACTAATTCAATTTAATAAACTTGAAATGAAATGTGATTCCCGATGATGTCATGCCTACCGCGAATTGCTGCTTTTGGGTTGTGGATCACAAAAGGAAGCATGATAAGAGCACTTTCACCAATCATTCTGCTAGATAATTTTGGTTCAAATGTGTTTTGAGTTTAATCTAAAAACATATAAGCAGGGAAAATGAACTTTGAAGGTAGTGATTGAAGCATATGTTGGCTTGGTATCATATATCAGAAGAAAGCGATCAATGAGTAATGTTTCGGTGCTTGAAATTAGTGCACTTTAAATCTTCAACTTTGCTTGGTCAACAGATTTAAGCTTATTTGAGTGTTACTTCCCTTCTGGCATACCCTCACAGAACGGAATGATGGTTTAAAAAATGTCCAGTTTAATGTTACAAATGGCGATTTTGAGCTGAGTTTTTTCCCCCAACCACAAGGATGTAACTTCCATTCTTTTTAAATCCTCGATGTTATTTGGAGACAAGTAAATCCTTTGAAGATATTCTGTGTTTTATTGCTGCCAATGAGAGACATAGGAATTGCATTTGTGACAACTCTGTTTTTTTACATTGCAGTTGGCTGTGTAATTTTTTTTTTCTCACAGGTACTTGTGTACTGACTCAGAAGAAGATTGATTCATTGACAGCATGGTGGGTAATGTTATTTTGTCTATGTTTCATTTCTTTAACGTTTATTCTTTTTAACCTTGACTGATATGATCTCATAATGATTGTGCACTCCTTTCCCCACACTTGGGAAATTATGAAAATAGAATTACCTTCTTGGAGCTTTCAAGCCGGCATGTAACATCTTAATCACATTCAATGATGGGAAAAGTCGAAAGCAGGTTAGCCACTCTTTAAATTGCTTATGGAGATACCTTAAATTATTTGATTATAATTATCAAGACTTTATCTTACAATGTTATATCTTATCAATATTTGAATAGTGTGACAGAACTTCCCATATCTTCATTCTAGTAACTCATTTGTTTCTTGTGCGGTTGATAAATCTCTGTGTTTACTATTTATATGATATGCCTTTGTTATTTTGTGATTTTTTTTTGGGTTTGAAGGTTCCATTTAAAAAAGAAAATGGCCAAACAGTCACCGCCCCTCTTTTTCAAAGTCAAGAAAACATTGCTGGGAAGGTATTTTTATTTGTTGGAGTCTTGATTACCATTGACTGTATGTTTGCTTTTTAAATAACTCTTGATTTATTGTCTTGTGAACCTTACTACTTGAAGTTTTGTCTTTGGTGCAATGGTTAGATTATAATCGAGCCAATGCAAGGGAAAAAGATTGACCACAATGGCATAAAAGTTGAACTGCTCGGACAGATAGGTTAGTCTTTGATGAGGAATACATTTCTAAAGTACAAATGGATAAAGAAAAGTAGAGTGTGACATTAGTTATTCATGTACTTTATTGACTCTTGTGCTCTTCACTTTATCTATCGCTAGGTGTGGGATGATAACTTGAATCTGATGCAAGACAAGTTTGGCCATAAAAATGTTTTCAATGAAGTATTATTTAACAAACATCTGTTTTAGGATAAAGAATTTAATTATGTCTTTTTTTTGATAATTTTAGCTGAATTGTTGTCCTGAAAGATCCCAAGATTAGAGGTGTAAATTAGCTTTCCAACTAGTCATAGGTTACTGATAGCATAATGAATTAAGAATATTTTCCTTAAAGTGGCCTATCCATCTCATTTTTGTCAAATAACTTTTTCTCTTTGAATCTGTATAACTTTGACAAGAATATGTATTTTGTGAACTTCAATAATAAAATTTGATTTAACAGTTAATGTAGCTTAAGTTTTGTTGGGCTGGGCTGGAAATAAATTATTCATTCATAATTTTTATTGAAATCATGCAAATTGTTCACTTGTGAAATGCAGTATGGAATTTTTCTTTGTTTTTTTTTTAATACCTGGATATGAAGTTGACTTTAAACTTTGCTTGATTATGCAGAGATGTATTTTGATAGAGGAAACTTTTATGACTTTACTTCCCTTGGTGAGTAATTGAGTACTCTGTCTTTGGATGAAAAACCTTTTACATGGTTATATGTAGCTAGTTTTTCATATAATAACTGTACAGTGCTAGGAATTACTTCTATGCTGGGAAGATATAATAGGTTGTAGTTGCAGTTCGGAAGGACTTTATTCTAGTTGGTATTTCAACTGTAGTTTATCTTGAAGGTGAATGAATTGAGTGAAGCATCTCATAAATATGCTACCAATTATTTATTATTCTTCTTGCTTTCTTTTGCAGTACGAGAACTAGATGTTCCTGGGGATATCTATGAGAAGAAAACGTATCCATTTGAGTTTTCCACAGTTGAAATGCCTTATGAGACATATAATGGGGTAAATGTCAGGCTTAGGTATGATTTCTTGATGCTTAACTCCTTAAAATTTTATGCACGTGCGTTCCTATTTTGGTTATAAAAGCTCCGTGTGCATCTGCTTTTGTTGACACGATGGCACACCTATGGTTCCCTGATGTGTTATGCTGGTTAAAATTCTGTTGTACATCAGGCTGAATGGAATGTTGATGGAATCTAATTTTACCGTGCATGAGTAATTTTGGTATCATACCATTGTGTGCGGTGTCAATTTTCAGCGGGCATTCTGGTTTACTTTCACCTTATTGTCAAAGCTTTGAAATTGTCAAAGCTTAGCTGCTTGCATGCCTTTTTGTGGGCCCATAGAAATTTTTGAATGCCAAAGGTTGGATGTAATTTAATGTTCCTGCTGCTTAGTAAGAAAAAATAACAAGTTTGTGGAAATATGATTGGTGATTGAAACATATATAAAGAAAATTAGAAAATGGTGAGATGAAACTTGAATAGCATATGCTTCCTGTGACCCATTTGAACATTTACAATTTTCAGGTATGTTTTGAAAGTGACCATCAGTCGAGGCTATGCAGGAAGCATAATGGAGTACCAGGATTTTGTGGTATGATGTGTTTTTTTAAAATAAAACTTTTCCGTGGTCCCATTTCATCTATCAATTTTTGAGAATTTTTTTCATTGATTAGGTCCGCAACTATTCTCCACCTCCATCAATTAACAATAGCATCAAGGTAAGGTTATTACGTTTGAATTTCTAGATTGTTTTGCGTAATCAGATATGGTAGAGGAAATTCATATCCCCTTAAAGTTTTGGCATGTTTACTGAGTGAATAGCAGCAAGTGCTACCATTTCAATCTCCAAACTCGTCTTTAATCAAACAGAATAATAATCCTAAGCCATTGTTACTCATCTGAAGCATAGTTGGTCTTTGATCATTTGTCTTAAATCACTCGTTAAAATTGCTGGTCTTTTTATTTTCAAATCTCATTGAGGCTATACATTGTGCTTGTCCTTTCCTGTAAACTTTCTTTTCCTTTATTCTCTGAAAACTTGATGGCTGCGTTTATTTTGCTTAACATTATACCCGATACAGATGGAAGTTGGAATTGAAGATTGCCTACACATTGAATTTGAATACAACAAAAGCAAGTAAGTTGAATGCATTCACCTGTGATATGAAAAGCAGACTAGATAGGTTGGTTTGACAAGTTAAACAGGGAACTTTAAATATGCTGGTTTGGTCCAAATTTATAAGCATGGTTAGATTGTTAAATTCTACTGGATATATACTAGATGAATCCATCTTGAACTCGGTGAAATGTGCATCAATGGATTGCAGTTCTTATGATCTTGTAGTGGTAGCATTTACCATGTATATTCACCGTTATGCCACAACTTGTGGAAGAACAGGTTAAAAGTGGTTCAGAGCATGCAAGACATTTATGCCAACTGGTTCAATTGGGTTGGGTGTTAGCAATCATAAATTAGTTACAAAAGAATGTATAAATCATAAAATAACTCTTCTGATTTTTTTTTGTTACTTTATTAGGTAATGATAAAGTTTAAACGAGTCACTTAAAATTTTGAATTATATTTTTCGCTGTATTTGTATTTCAGAGGTTGATTTTTTTGGTTACTATTCCATCTTAAGTACCGAATGTTGATAATAAATGGAACTGAAAGCACCTACTGCTTACACAATCCCAACTTATTTGATTGGTAGCTTTTTTAAAGATATTCTTGTCAAAGATGAACGTTGTGCTCTAGGATGATATTCACGTCCCTGAAAAGAATTTTGAAATTATCTGCTTATCAATACTTGAAAGTGGAAAAGAATTGTGACACTAGTTCATTTTTATAAATTCAGGTATCATCTGAAAGATGTCATCATTGGCAAAATATATTTTCTCCTGGTAAGAATCAAGATAAAAAATATGGATCTTGAGATTAGACGTCGGGAATCAACCGGTTCAGGGACCAACACCCATGTTGAGACAGAAACATTGGCGAAATTTGAGTTGATGGATGGTGCTCCTGTCCGAGGTATGTTGAGAATACACTCTGCTTTCTGCTCACGGTTTTTTTTTAATTAGCACACCAATGTATTCAAGAGAAATTTTCTACCCCGGATATTGACCAGGCCCTCATAATAGACGTTTCTTTTCTTAATAGATGTGCAAATTAGTTATACACATCTGTTGATAATAACTGTTGTACACACACTAGAGTGGATTATAATGAATGGCCAATTAGGAAAAAAAAAGGATTGTAATTAGAAGTCCAGGTAACATATGGCCAATCCCCCCAAGCTCAACATGTGCCAATAGAAGCAGTGTGTCACAAAGTCATTACTTTCTCTCCAAAAAACTAGTTCAGTAGGGTGTGCAGTGTGCCTGTTATGGTTAGGACCCTCTCCAAGTCTTTTTAATGTAGGACGTTATAAGTGGCTCTGATTGATTTTTGTTTTTACAGGTGAGTCAATCCCAATCAGACTGTTCCTTAGCCCTTATGAGCTGACACCAACTCATCGCAACATTAATAACAAATTCAGTGTGAAGTACTTCTTAAATCTGGTGTTGGTTGATGAAGAGGACAGGCGATATTTTAAGCAGCAGGAAATCACGATGTATAGGCTGCAAGAAGAAACTTCCTGATTGATCATCGTACAGGGAATGGGTTTTAGGTGTAATGAGCATAGAAATAACGAACATTGTCATGGACTTTGGAGAGCTGAGGTTTTATTAGACGGTCACTTGAAACCCTTTTTAGGGGGTGCAAAAGTCTGGTTTTCTAGCAGTAAAATGCTTGCAAATTATGAATCCGTCTCTTGATGCAGTTCTGAAACATTTCGGCATGCATTCCATTATAGCAACTTACCTCTTATTTATGCTGTGAAGTGTGATGTGGCCAATCTTATATACTTTTGTAAGTTTTTTTTTTTTTTAACCCCTCCTGATCCTAGTCATGTTATGCACTGATCCAGAGTGTGATGCTTTGTACTCCGACTTCTGTTTCAAGTATCGTCCATAACCACATTCCTTTTTTGGTTTTGGGTTCTCGTTTCTCCTTTTTACTGTGATAAGTGAAGAGTGGTTTGGAATCTGGTTTGTTTTATCGTATATTCTTGTATTGGGTTCCATTTTTTGGATTACTATTATATTGTCCAAACGTAAAACGCTAAATTCGATGCATTGTACGTGCCACTTATTTTGATAACAAAATATGTAAGCCGATGAAGACAATTACAGGAATAATAGCTTAAATGTGACCATGTTGACGATATACGTTATGTCTTTAATTATTAGTGATTTGCCAATATCCTTGTAATATACGGTTTGAACAATATCCACATAGCTTATACTTCCTTGTTCTGAATTCAAAGAAGTTTACTCATTTCTTTGAAATATCTGAACAGGCCATCCAATTAGATTGGATCATTATTGGGAAATTCTTGCTTTTACAATTCGTATCAATGAAATGTGACGTATAAACTCCGGTCAAGAATTGATGTGCCGAAATACCTTTTTTTCTTTTTATAAATCAGGGGATATTTCATTTTTCTGTTTCTTTTTTAACCGAATTATGGAATTTTTTTCACAAAATACCTCCGTGAATCCCAATATTTACACTAGGCACTGGGGAAATGAAAGTAATGATAATCATAGATTGGCCCCAGGAAAAAAATCATAACCATAGAATTTAACAATGCATAAATTAAATTAAAAGTGCAATTCATATCAGTATTAACTATACATCACTAAAATCCCCCCACAGCAGTCATCATCATCACATAATGTAGCTTACATCCACACATTTATACAGAGATTGTAATTTAAGAAAAGATTTACTAGTTACATCCAAAAATTTACACAGATTGTAATTTAAGACTATTTACTACAATCTAAGAAATTCAGACTGACAACCAAAAGGAGATGCTTTCCCGCCATTAAGGAGACAAGGCTGTACTCTCTCTCTCTCTCTCTCTCTCTCTCTCTCTCTCACGTACCAACTCGCACAACACAATTTTTTAGAGTATGCGTAATAGTAGAAGTTTGAATCTAAGACCTCCTATTAACAAAAAGAATATAGGAAAGCTGTTGTAGTGAATGAAAGATGTTGGTCTCTAACTATCTTCCTTGAACAAGCCCACTGAACACTTGGCTGTTGCCGGCTAGAGTTGCTTCCCACTCAATAGAAGACAGGAGGATCTGTGAGAGCGAAATCACAACTTGTTTCATATCAGGTCTTAAGATGGGATCATCATCCACACATTGCTTTGCCAGCATGGCCATCTATGCACAGACACACATCAAGAAGAGCAAGTCACTAGGACAGTAAAATCTCTTGCACATTGTTGTACTTTGACACGTGATTTTCTAATAAATGGAATCAGTTGAGTTCATCACTCACTAGTACAGCTGTGGTATGGCTTCTTCTCTCTCTCTCTCTCTCTGTTTTTGGACAAATATGGATTGATTTGTTAAGGATGGAAACTAACTTACCTTAAATACACAATCATGGGGATACAGGTCCATCATATTAGGATCAATATGATTTCTCAAACTAGACATACTCATTGAATCAGGTGAGTTCCTAAGAGCTGCCAACATCTGAAATTTGACAAATATTAAGGCAATATCTCAGAATGCAATTGCAACAGTAGAACACCACCACATGCCATCATAAATGAAATAATATGAAATATAAACGTGAAAAAAACAATACACAGAAGAAATAATAATTAGAAAAGTATGAAAAATGCAGTACATCAAAAGTCACAGTTAAGCAATGACCAATTTCTCACCACTATCTAAATGTCGTTTACATTTGTACTCATGCATTCATTATCATTTATCAAATATAACAACTGATTCAAGCAATTATAAATTATCAATTGACAAATTACCTAACTCTTGATTCTTGAAGCCTTCATGTTCATCTATTGCCGCACATCTAGTATCTATCCAACACATGCTCTGTTTTCTATAAAATCATTCATGCTAAGATCTAAAACTGCACCAGTGACTACAAAAATTCTATGAGAACTTTTGACTTCGTCGGTGAAGCAATGTGGAAATGTAGAAGTATGAGACTCTGCACGCATATTACCAGATTCATAATTATGACTTGTAAGTAAAGCAGAACTTACAATAGATGCAAGAGAACGTCTCTCAGGATTTTTTGACATCAAGCCTTCTGTCCGAATAGTGGCCTCCTTCCCTGATATCATCTCAAAAAGAACAATGCCAAATGCATAAACATCACTTTTGGTTGTTGCACGGCCATCGCTCAGGTATCTGTTCAACATCACCATTGACAAAAGTATTAATGTTATTTTCTATTTTCTTTCTTACGCAAGAAGAATGACTTTGAATAGTTGTTTCATCTGAAAAGCAATATTTCTTACTCAGGTGCAAGATAACCATATGTGCCAACAACTTTGGTGGCAGTAATTTCTTCTTCATTTGCTTTCCCAACAAGTTTTGCTAACCCAAAATCTGAAATCTAGAGAGAAGGAAATCCGTGACAGCTAAAGAAACTTGTAAAAAATTAAAAATCTGAAATAGATTGAATAAAGTTTGGATATGTACTATTTACTTTTGCTCTAAAGGAAGCGCCAAGTAAGATGTTGTTTGTCTTGATATCTCTATGGACGTAATTGATTTTGGCGTGCTCATGTATGTACTCAAGTCCCCTAGCAGCATCAAGTGCTATCTGGACCCTCATGATCCAAGAGAGTGAGGAAGAACCTATAAGCAAGACGAATTTTTGTTACAAAGAAGATGAAATCAAAGCAGGAACTCAGAAGCACTAGTTTTACACATAAGTGGTGGACTGGTGGTTGATATTCTGCAAACCAGTGCATGGGTGCACAATCTTACCCTTGGTCAGTGGATCATGCAAATGGCTTCCAAGTGAACCCTTCTGGGCATATTCATAAATAAGGAAAAGCTCATCATGACTAGCAGCATAGCCGATCAATTCTATCTAGAAAAGATTAACATAAAAGAAAAGGACTCAAAACATTTGAAGTGGTGCAAGCAATAAGCTACAAAATTAAATCATACAACATACTTTAATCCCAAAAAAATTACCAGATTTGCATGATGAACCTTGCACAGGACCTTCATCTCTGACAAGAATTCTTTAGTTTTTGTAGCAGTCATTCTTTTGATAGCAACCTCCTAAAGGGATTAAAATAAAATGAAGAATGGTATGAGAAACATTCTTGCCTTAAACAAGAGCATGCTTGAATTGGAAAACTACAAACCTGGTCACGAAGGAAGCCATAATAAACAGAACCATAAATACCATGCCCAAGTAGATTTGAATCAGAGAAACCATCAGTTGCAGAACAAATCTCTTCATGTGTGAAAACGACAGGGTTCTCCACTTCAAAGACATTAATCCCCAATGCTGAAATAATAAATATAATTTTATTGCATGCAATTTGAATTTTAGAGAATCAGTTGTGGTATTGTGTGCAGAGAGGAAGAATAGAACCAGTTTTAACATGGAAAAGCCAGATACCAGTGAAATGTTTCATGACAGGACCACATAATTTACCTATAATTTAGGGGCACTGATATAGAGCCGCATAACCTGACTGCTAAGTTTCTTAACAACACTCAACACAGAAGCATTTGGGAATATTGTGATTATCAGTTTGATATTCTAAATATCTTTTACAAAACTTAAGCACCCCAAAAATATGCTTTTGTTCCAATTCCACCCTTCCAGTGATAATTGAGAATCAAATTTCCCATGAAACTGAAACAAAAACTAATAATTTGGTGATGGCACCACCTTTCTAAGACTAAAATAAGGTTTTCGTTTTGTGTTCTCTTTTACATCCTGTTACTCTTACTTGTCATCAGAACTATTCTTTATTCTTTTGTCATCTGATGCATGCTAAACATGAATATTTAAAACTGACAAAAAATAGGTACAAAACAATACAGAACTTAAATCTAATAGGAGGTTAATTACTTGAAACTTTGGGAGCAGTAATCTGGTTGTTGCGGGAATCACGATCAGATTGCCTCTGCTCTACAGGTTTGCCCTGTATGTACCTTCCTGAACCACAGCAAAAACTTGGATTTTGAAGGATATGAAATTTGTGCAAGATCTTGCCTTCATCAACCTTTTCAGGACTTGTGCTTGCTTCAGCAAAACAATTGGACGATCTCGCACAGAAATAAAGAATTGTGCTTAATATTATCAGAGCAAGACTGATCCCTAAACCCCCAACGATCCATATGTAGGGTGCATGAGCATGACTGACTTGACTAGCTGCAAAAGTAGTCATATATGAGTGACGATTTTGAGGACAATGAGTGAATGTTTTAATTGCTGGCGATTCTTCAATAAAAACACAAAATATACTGATAGAGATTTTTTACGCTTGAGCACAATGAAGATGTGTTTTTTTGTCGAAAATTTTATAGCAGGCATTTAAAGAGCTTTACCTAACCAAAAAGCTAGAAGCGAAGTAAAAGCCAAAATGAAATAAAGTCCATCAGAAACAATGAACTCTTTGCTATCTCAATTCAGTACATTTAGAAAGAATCTTTAACTCAATGCAGAATCTGCCAAAATGTGGCTAACATTTACCACCCACAGAGTCTGAGGAATACAAAAATTTAAACAAAGCAGTGGGCCAAGGGAAGTTCCATCACCACCAAAGCCATAGTCCAAAGCCACTTAAATTGCATATTCAGCATTGATAAAACTAACATGTACCGTCAAAAGTAAGTATTTATTAATGCTTTGAATTGCTCGAAATCTATCCTTCACAACAATCTTCATGGATATTGCATGAAGAACTTTGCCCTACATTAGAGGATTGACTCGTGAAAATAACTTCCATTCATTTGAAGCTAAGCAATAGGTATCAGCATAAGGAAAAAACAAATTCTTTAGAATTTGAGCTGAAAAATATCAGCAAAAAACAGTTTGAACTAAGAGTACAACAAAGAAGAATGTAAGCTGCAACCAATGAAATTTTAAATTTCCACTATTTGCACACACACACATCATAACAAACTGCTAACTCCAAGGTAAAAATAAAAGGACACATTGTATTCCTATGTTATATATATATATATATATATATATTGATCCATACCAGAAACATTGTCAATAGAAGGGGCAGGAACAGGAGCTAAGGAAGTATCATTCTTCAGGGTATATGGCTCACCAGGAACTGCAACGAATTAGAAAATAATAATGAAATATTATATCATAATAAATGATAAAACATTAGGCTGCTAACAACTTGCAAATATCATATATACATATAAAACCCACTGGTACCTTGTAGAAAACAGATCGAAAAAAAAAACATACAAAGACTAACCCGAATTAAGTGGTACATAACACAGGGAATCCACAGTGATATTGTCAGGATTGTTGATGCCATTTACTGTCTCTATACTATACATACTAACTCCAAACCGACTCGCCAGAGATTCAATACTATCACCTTCTCTCATCACATAACTCATCATATAGTTCCAGGGTCCACTGGAGCAACCACAAAACAACTTCAATGTTATAACGGAGCCGTTTTTTGCCCTCCTAGCCGTTTTGGGCAAGAAACCAAGCCCATCATAGGCCTTCATCACCAAATCATACACCAACCCTTCATTGGATTTTACAGTGTAAGTGGTGCTAGACACGTATTTGTTTATGCCAGCAGCACAAGAACAGTTCTTTTTGATAAATATGTAGTCCCAGCCATTGCCTTCAACAGTAATGTCATTAGGCAATACATCAAACATGCTCTGAATTACGGCTAAGGTTTGATTTGGTCGAGGCTTAAAGGCCAAGAACGAAGTGCAGACGCGGGTGGCGTCCTTACAATCCAAGGGTGTGGTATCCGAAGAAAGGGAATGAAAGTGGAGAAGAAAAAGAAGAAATTGAAGCAGATACAAGTGACGTTTCCAGACAAGATGCATAACTTTAATTTAAAATCAAGAAAGCAGACTATTTAGTGTCCAAAAGATCAAAGAGAAACAGTGGAATCACAGTGAAGTTGAGAGATGGAAAAGAAGTTGGTCTAAAGAAATTTGGCTAAGGCGAAAGAAAAATGAAACTAAAAAGGAAGAAACTTGATCCAAGTTAAATAAAATTCCGATGGAGGAAAACCATCAGAATCCCGACATCATCAGCAAAAGCTTGAAACCATGTAAATTTAACAAAGACTCAGCTCTAGAACAAACAAAATGGTTTCTTTTCTTCAAAACTTTGATGAATGATATTACAAGAAAAAATAGTGAACAAATTACCTAGAGAAATAGCAAATAGACAGTAAAAGGAGCATGTGGGGATGTGGTAGGGAATAAGTTTCTGCTAAATTTCTGAACAAAGAGGGATGGAAGAAGAAAGGAATGAAGGGAACTTGAAAACAGAGCACTTGGTTTCACGTTAAAAATAGACTAAGCAAAGCCGCTTACTGAAAAGTGAAAAACAGTGACAAAAGAAAGCAACCTTTGTAGAGTGAAACTTGGGGAACCACCCACCTGGTACCACCAGAGTGGGAGATATTTAGATTTTTGAAGGATATTTAAGACTAAATCGCCACTCGTTCTGTCGGGAACACGAGATATCGCTCTTCTTTCTCTACAATATCTAGCAAGCAAATAAGCAATTACCAGTGCACTACGCCGGTGGATTTATTTGTTTCTAAAACAACTTGAATAACGTGCATTTAATCTTGGGGAATGAAACAGTGCAAATTTAGATTTTATCTCTTGGCGCTCGCAACTGTATGAAGTAGAACTATCATTTAGACGTTTCATTTGACAATTCATAAACCCTGTTTCTGGGGTGCAGAGTACATGTGAGAGATTATGTTGTGAGAATAAATCTTAAATGTTTTGCGAAGGAATATGTAAGTTGTAGATGAGAGAGAAGAGAAGGGGTCTGGGGATGAGTCAGGTGATAGAAGGGCTCAAGTATGGGACAAGCAAAGAGCTGGCAAAGGACGAGGACAGTTTTGGTTGGGCCCACAAAAAAGTTCTTTGTGAAGGAGGGGCGAAAAAGGGGGCAAAAACTTATAATTTTAACCTCATAAATAAATTTAAAATATTTATTTTTAATTAAATAAAAACATGTGTATCATTTATAAATTATTTATTATATAATAAATTTTTACTATTAATATTATAATAAACATGTGTATCAAAAAAATTTATTTTGATTTGATTTAATATAATTACATTAAATATATATAATTAAGTAAGTTTTGTCCAAAAGAAAAATGAAAAAAATCGCCAAGTAACTTCGAAATGGAAATGATCGAGAACTAGTGCGTGGTAGTAAAAGTTCGTTGACCTCTTCAACGAGAGATTTAATCGGCTTTTTTCTTTTCACGATCGTCATTCGTCACTAAAGATCGGGGGGATCCGCACGTGCTCCGAAGACAGCTGTAAAAGATATATGACGCACAACTCCTGGGTCCCACAAATCGCCCTCCGTTTTTAATTACGTACTTTATTACTTTTTTTTTTAAGAAAATAAAAAGGAAAAATCACACGCTTGATTAAATTTAAGACCTTTCAAAGTATGAGAAGGAATACTGCCACTAATTCTTAGAGGAATCGTTATCATTGTTTTTTTTTTATAATTCACTATGTTATTATTTTATTTAAAAATATAAAATATTTTTTAATAATTAAATATTTAAAAATAAATTATTTTTTATTTTTTAAAGTGTAATCATTACTTTTTTTAACAGTATCCCTGTTGATAATGATTTTATATTTATTATAGGGTATTTAATAGAGGTAAATATAAAAAGATAGAGTTAGTTTGAAAGTAAATAACTACTTTATTAATATAAAATTTAGTTAAAAATGCTTTATATTTTTTAATGGAGTTAGTTTTTTAATCTCTAATTAATGTTAATAAAAAAATAGAAATTTTTAAGGATTTATTTAATATGAGAAAAATAGAAAATGTATTTATTTTGTAAATAAAATTAATAATTTTTAAGATTTTTCTTGTTACCAATAAAAAATATAATAAGTGATTTATAAATGGAACCTAATAAATAACATAAAATAAAATTATTTAATTTACACAAACAAAATACTAATTATTTTTACTACTATAAAGTAGGATCGAGTCTTTTTATTGACTGACTAGGAGCCGTGGGGAAAAATTATTAATCGACCATTACTTTAGTCCTAAAAGTTTGTAAATTATCTTAGGGAACATCGCAAATAAGATCTTCTAAAGGAAGACATTTTCTCTAAAGGCTTGAACGCCTTTGCGTGCAATTATTTTTGAAGTTGTAAAGATCAGACTATCCTTTTTTTTTGGGTTAATAAAGTTCAAATTATCCTCAATGAGAGAACATCAGTGCCACACATGTTAGCCAAATAAAATTATTAACAAAAAATCCATAAATAACTAAAAAAACTATTTACAAGAAGAAATCTGTTTATTTGCAATAGCTTATGTGGGTTTACATTTGCATTTGAGAAGAAAATTTACAAGATAGCCAAAAATAATAATAATAACAAAAGATCTATAAATAATAAGAAAAATTTACTTATTTATAACAATAAGTTTGTTTATTCACAAGAATTTATGTAAATTTATACTTGTAAAAAAAATCTACAGCTAAAGAAAATTAGCAGAAAGTTCATAAATGACAAAAAAGCTTTAATTGTTTACAACAAAAAGTCCACCTATTTATCAAGTCTATATAGGTTTACACTTGAGGCCTTTTCACTCATAAAAGATAATTCAATCATTTCAAGTTCGAAAATAATTCAACATGAAGCCTTCAAGCCTATAGAGAATTATCAAAATTTATTGAACCTACAGAGTAGGTATCTTTCTTAAAAAGTCTTACATGAGATTCTTCCATTATTTAATATAAAAATAACACAATTTTTGAAAATTGGACTAATTAATCATTCGAGGACCTTTTAATTTTAATTATGCTTGAACATTGTAAATCAAAAAAAAAAATCAGGGGAAAGGAGAAAGGATGAGGTAGGCATGAAAGGGGAAGAGAGAGTGTGAATGGGTGTTGTTAAACCTAATCAAACCTAATATTTTGGATTATAATGCAAAGAAGGAGCAGTCCCATCTTACGTGGGGTTGCATGCGAATTCTGATTCCCAATATCATCAAACTCCGTCATAACCCATTAGCCCCTCTGCACCATTTATTAGTTATTAATTTCACTAATCACAACTTAATTTACCTTCTAAACCTTGTGATTCAATACATGGCTTTTTGTCCCTGCCAAATTCAAAGCTTCATAGGTCCCCCAACTTTTTCTCTCTGTTTGTCTGAGTGTCAAAATTGCTTCACAAGTTGCTCTCCCCGTTGTACAAGAGTTTTCATGAAGCTTTTATGATGACATTAAATGACTTTGCTATGTTTGGATTTTTTTTTTTTTTTGGTATCCATTCCTCACCCATTCTTTTCCATTAACATGTTTAATTTCATCCTCCCACCTTACCTTCCTTTTTAGTGATTATTTCCAGGGTATCAATCATCGAACTAGGAAACCACACTCTAGTTTTAGGATGATTTTAATGACAGACGCATGATTTTTTTTTTGCCAAAAAAAAGTAAATTATGTAGTAGTGGGCCGGGTTATGTTTCCTCCCAAATTAAGGGCTTAAATAATTATTTGCAGATAAAATATTATGTTTATTATAACATTGTGGGTAAAACAATGCAAAAGAAATAAAAATTGAATTAGATCTTTTCATAAGAGATCTCTACACTCATATGGTAGGTTATTCAGAATCATAACACTAACATTATTCTATTGCACTTGATGAAAAAACTAGTTGAAATTGAAATAGATGTTAACATCTCTAAAAAATATAATCAAAAGTCACAATCCAATCTTCTAAAGATAAACTTTTCAATCCTTTCTATATGATGAACTTTCCGATCCTTTCTATGATGTTAAAAAGAGAATGAAACCATGAGTGCTTTTTGCTAATAAAATTGAGTGCCTTTGTTGATTTTTTTTTTTTAAAAATTAACCTTAGAAAATTTTTTCCTCCAACAAAAGGTGAGACTTTCAAGAACACCTGAAAGCTTTTCAATAATACTAGGATCGAGATTTTGATATTAGCTAAAGCCTTTGATCTAATTTTCATACTTATCACATATGAGACCTCCACAAGCAATGTCACCATTTCAATAAACTAAGTTATCTGTATTTCATCTAACTCATCCAGATTCAAGAGGATATCATTTGGAGTGCATATTCCTTTGTTTTGAAGATGAGAAATCGATCCTTGCTTAGCTTCCAACTTCATGTCGCTTATGATGCTGATCATGCTGGCAAAAGCAATATCTTCATCACGAAGTCTTCCTTTAAAACTATGATATTTGATATTGTGCTTCGTTTTTCCTATTTGCTCCCCATTCTCTTTAACACTAACACATACGCATATTCTTTCTTTTTTTTTTCTTTTTGGTTTTTGACCAACCACACATACACATATTCTGTTCAACTTATTTTAGTGGATCCAATTATCGGAACCTTGACTTCTCTGGACTCAAAATACGTGTGTGGGCTTCTGAAAAGTGTATGGGTCAAATGTAAGATTTATAATGAAACCAAGTCCAATGGAAATTCTGGATCTTTGTATATATACCTTAGACCCAAAAGGAATCTCAATAACTTTTGGGTTCATTTTTGTTAAGAACCATCAAACAAAGTTGTACCAAAGAAAAATGATCCCAGGTCCAATCTACATCACTAAACCATAACAAATCCCCACTTGTCTTCCAAAAAAAGGCCATAGACCCCCCAAAAAAGAAAATATTATGGAAAAAAGACAAAAGCCAGTGCGTGCGGTTTTTTAACCCGACAATGGCAAAATTTAGAATGATTATCCTAAAATTTATTTTTTATATTTGTTAATTGTTGATTTTTATTAATTAATAAGAACAACTGCATAGAAAAGTCGTACAGGGAAATGAAAATCAGCAAGAAAGGGATTACAATTATCTAAATTGTTGACTGTTAATTATTAATTCACAACTTACGTAACTCAATTGCTTAAACATGTGTGTTTGTGTGTGTAGCATGTGAAAGGTGTAAAGATGATGTAAATCTCGTGTAAAGATAACACTTCTTCCTGATTCTGATTACTTGTCTCGTTCACATTTTCAGAATAATTACCCTATTTGTTAGTTTATATCTTCAAAAAGAAGATAAAAGTACAGAAGCAGCAGATTGCACAAGAGCAGATAAACATGAAGAGAGTCAGCTTCAAAGTTCTTTGGTCAAAAAAAAAAAAACTTCAAAGTTAGATATTCAACTTTAGCGTTATTATTTTCATAAATTGTCCCCTTTTTTAGATGGCCTTCTTATCCGGTTTGGGGAGTGGGGAAAAATAACAGAGAATAACTTTAGGAGGGTTTAATGCTCCACCTATTGCAGGGTAGTGGTGCATAATGCGGCTTTTCACGATTATTCTGGCCATATCATTGTCATTTCATGAAACGCATTCTACGAATTTATGCTTCCTCTGTCATTTCTTAACAATCATATGTACCTCCTAGTCTCCCATATCTTCTTTTAGAATAAACTATTCTTTCATTATTGGAGGGTTTATTTTTCTTTTGTGTAATCCTGTGATATATGATACTATCAAATTAGTATTGTCAGATATAATTAAGAATAATGTGAAATTCTATTCAAGCGGAGTAGATCATTTCTTTCATGTGACTCGACTACTGTTGCGCTGCTAATGATTAAC